CATTTGTCAGGTTGCAAAACTAATCCGGCTGATTTTAACCTACCTAATAGTTTTTCGAGTTTTACTTTATGTTCTTTTAATGAATTTGCATAAATTACTATGTCATCCATATAAACAAATAATTCTATTCCTTGTAAACCTGATAAAACTCTGTCCATCATTCTCTGGAAGGTCGAGGGGCTGTTTTTTAATCCAAAAGGCATTCTATTAAATTCATAATGTCCGTAGGGTGTAGAAAACGCGGTTTTATGTCGATCTTTTGGCTCAACCTCTACCTGGTGAAACCCTTGGGCTAAATCTAATATGGAAAAGTATTTTGATTGGCCAATTTGGTCAAGAATTTCAGAGATATGGGGAAGTGGATAAACATAACTAATTGTTTTTTCATTCAATTTTCTATAATCTATAACCATACGCCATTTTTTTGTGCCGTCAGGAGATTCCTTTTTGGGGACACTATACATACGGGTGAATTATAAGATGATTTTGAAGGGATTATTGATTTATTTTTTAGAAGATCAGCTGTTTGTTTTTTTATTTCATCTTTATGTATCTCTGGATATCTGGGGTATTTACTATTTACAGGGCTATTGTCTGTTGTTTCTATGGTATGTTTAACTACATTTGTGAATCCTAAATTATCGTTAGGGAGATGAAATTGAGAATGATATTTTTCTAATGAAGATGATAATTCTTGTCTTTCTATTTCATTTAAATGATCAAGTTTTAAAATTTCTTTCAAATTTTTAATTCTTTCTTTATTTTCTTCTGTTGCAACTTTAAAGCATCTTTGTTGATTTTTACTCTTCGTTTTTGTTTTTAATTCTTCATAGTCAAAAATTTCAGTTGGTGGCACTAATAATTCCATATCATTACAAGTTGTATTAATACAAAAGGTTTTTATCATATCATTCTCAATTTTAACCAATGCTTCTCCTAAATAAACCCCAGGTCCTGTTGGTATCAATGGTAAATATCCAGTTCTTAAATTTTCATTATTAATAACTGACAATTTCACCAATTTCTTTGTTCGTGCTTTTATTTTTAAAATTTTTCCCTTATTTTCCGAGACAAGTGGAAATTTTCCCAATTTATGAATTAATACCTTTTCTTTTAAATTTATTGTTGAATTTTTTAGAAATGGCATTCCCAAAATTCCGTCTTGTTGAATTGGGAAATCATCAGGTACAATCTGATAAGACTGGATATCTCCATCTGAATCTATTTGAATTTCCCCAATTGTATCTATCCCTTCTTTATTTATACCAAAAATGTGTTGTTTATTTTCATAATTTATGAAAACATTCGATTTAACACTTTTTAATTTTAATAGATTAATTTCCGCTCCTGTATCAACTACCATTCTTATTACTTCATTACAAAAATTTTCATTATGAAGTTCAATTTCAGGTGACTTTCCTCGCTTTTCACTACTCATCATGAGTACAACCCGTTTATCGATTAAATTATTTTTATCAGACCCATCATTGTACTCGTATGGTAGGTCTGATCTTAGTTTTTTGCATTTTCTATTTTCTTTTTCTGCCCATTAATTATTTTATCCCGTCTTTCATAACAAATTTCAGAGGTATGACCTCTTCTTTTACAATAAGTACATGTACCCTTACAATTTTCCTCTGTATGATGATTTTTCATCCCACATTTTGAACAATTTATTTCATTAATGTTTTCAGGACAAAAGAACCTTATATGACCTTCCTTTCCGCATTTATAACAAACCTTAATTTTTTGTTTTTTTGGACATTCTCTTTTCATGTGACCTGCTTGCCCACACCCATAACAGGTAAATTCTAAATTTTCCTCCTTTTTATTTAAATTTTCAATTTTTTCTTTTTTTACTGGTAGCTCTGAAATTTCCTCGTTTTCTTTTCGAAATTCTCTTTCCCGATTAAATTTTCTTTTTGACATAATTCGAATTCTTGGGTTTTCGCGATAGGATCGATATTTTTGATTTAAATATGACTTGGAAATTTCAGGCTTTGATTCATTAATTTTATCTTTTGCCTCTCTTGATAAAGTTTCTTCAAAATTTTCCTCCCACTCGGCCTTTTTAGCTATATTAATTGCTTCTAACAAATTTTTTGGTTTTTCTAATCTTACGCGTAACGCTAATTCTTTTCTTAACCCCATCATAAAATTTTCAGTGGCAGCATCTCGAGCTGACTTTACCATGCCGATAGCCACTTCAGTGTCATTTTTCTCTTTAATTAGATGTATTATTTGATTTAAAATTTCTCCCACTCTACTTCCATAAACATGAACTGTTTCCCCAATTTTTTGTGCTACTCTGGCTAGCATTGAATTTAATTGTCCTATTTGTTTATATTCACCAAAGGTTAATTTTAAATATTTTAAGAGATCCTCTAAGTTATTTATTTCTTGATTTTCTAAAGAGGATTCGGCATCTCCCACTATCCTTGATCTAATCATTTGAAATAAATGATAACGATCATTGGAATTAACCGAGTCCTCAGCAAATCGACAATTTTTTATAAACTTATTTATTGACACATTGTGACCATCAAACTCTTTTGGTAAAAACTCAAGAGCTGCTTTAAAGGGAAGAAAATTCGTTCTAAAATTTTCTCTTGTCATTACTGAATTTGATTGATTTGATTTTATTTCATTATTTAATATTGAGGTTGAATTACCTTCAACCTCCCATGACCCAGAACCAGGACCCATATATTCCATAACTGACTCGCTACTTTCGCTACCGTGATTCTCTCTTCGCAACATTTTTATTTTCTTATATTTAGTTTTTTATTTTCCTTTTATTGCAAGAAGTTTACAATTACAGAGATTAATCGACTTACCCTTTGAAGTTTTCTTTCCTTTTAATCCTTACACTTTTAAATTTTCACTTCTCTTTTCACTTAAAATTTTCCCCCTTTTTTTTTATAAAAATTTTCTTTTTATTTACGATATATGTACACTTTTCACTTCCGTTCACCAATTCCTCTTCTTCTCCGATCACCACATTTCCTCTTTGATTTTCAAAGGCTGCTTTCGGTTGAGTCTCCTTTATTGATTTTTTTTTGTACAGTTCACTAAACTTGGGGATCCCCGCTCTCTGGACTCAGTCATTATCTGCTTCCTTCTCGTTCTATCTCTTTTAGATTATTGATTTATTCTTACTTTTCTAAGAATGATTTTTCTTCCTTCTTCCAAATGCACAACTTCATATGTTCGTCCTTTAAATTTTCTTCTTTTTACGACAATAGTAATTGTTCGTTTTTTCTCAAGCAAGCTGATTTTCATCCCACTTCTGACACCAAAATTTTCTTGTAACACACCGCGAAACTTCCAAACGGAAAGTAAAGCGAAGTTCAAAATGTACAATGTTTGTCCAAAAATTTTAGCTTTATAATATTTGAATTTTGTTCCTTTCAAATTATCAACCGTAGGTTTCTTTCATCATTTAGATCCTTAAAAGGATCCACTTGCTTGAGTTAGGTAGGTTTATTTTATTAAATAAATAAGACACTGGTTTTTTTTTTATTAGAAAATCAAAAATTTATTCAATTGAATTTGAATTGAGTCTTGTTTAAATACGCTTTATTTAAACTTAGCTTAAATATTCTTAATTTGAATTTTACGAGTTTATTATTTCGCGAAATTCACGTTAATTTTCTCGCTAAAATCTGCGGTCCTTCCTTATAAAATTATGTTTTTATAGTCAATTTTCCACTCTCAATTTTAGTTCCTTTTCCCTTTCCATAAGAAATTTTCCCAATCATATTCCTATTTTCAAGTTGTTCAATCCCGCCCTCGCTAATTGATTGGTCTATTTTTTTTTTAGAAGACCGTTGCAACCGTTCGTAACTGTCATAATTTTTTATGTGGAACACCTGCACAAAATACGCATTTAAAATTGCGTATTTTGCTAAATTTATGATCTAAAATTAGTTTTACTTCATTTTTTACTTAGATAACCGTCATTTAACGACTTAACTTACGCATCAATTTTAACTTGTTTACTCTCTTTTCCCTTTTATGTATTGATTTCTTTAATTTAGTATTTTATTTTCTTTTCTCAAAATTTTCCAGGTTTACAAATTAAAATTGTTGCGTTTATTCGAATACATATATATATATATTAATTTTTCTTAATTTTCAAAGAACCTAAATTTAAGTTTAAATTTACCGCTTTTATTTTTAATTAATTAACTTTCAATCAAGACTCAATTCTCTGCAGCAAATAATTATTAGTACTCGTATTCACCTAGAACAATTTTCTAGCAAAAAGGGGAAACTGCAGAAAAACCCTTTTTGGAGTACTTTTCTATATTACATAATTATTAACATTAGTTAATTGTATATTTGGTTTGATTAAAAATAAAATCTTCATATTAAAACAATCAAATAATTGTTTCTCTAATTTTATTTTTCAATCAATTTGCATTTATTCTTCCATTCTTTTTCTTATTATTAAAATAGTCGATCAATTCTCTATCAACTTCTTGCAATAAATCAAATTTAAATTTCATATTTAGAGCGCAAACTTATTATTTATTACAGCACTGAGTAACAGTGATCGGGGCGACTTAGTCAAAAACCTCGGGCCTGAACGTTAATGATCCGTCACTGTTACAATGCACAGTGCATGCATGAGATAGTGTGACCGTACCCTTACGATTAAGGTCTAAGCAGAATTGCTTCCCGAAAGATGTTCGCGAACGTGAAACATGAGTTAGAAAAAGACAGAGATATATTCGTATCCTTTTCTATCTCATGCATCTCGATCGCGAACGACTTTCGCGAACCTATTGTGCGTTGGCCTTTAGACATTTCATTCTGCTGGTCCTGTTATTTCAGTATAGTAAATTACTTAAAATAAAATTCTCTAGGTCAGTGTTACTAGAATGTCATAGTGATTTTCTAATGTTCATGTTATTTTGAAAGGTACCAAAGACGACTAGGCGTGACGTCACATACACAACACGACGCTCGACGCATGTGCCAGGTTTTGAAATCTAGTGTTAGGTTTTGGAAACACTTAGCATTACGCTTTTTTGCGATAACTGCTCTGTGCTTTATAATTTTTTTTACTAGGTGAATTTGTGTTACAACAATTAATTTTATATTGTAATATCCTTTTCCAGAAAATTAATTTTCAATAAATTTTAAATAATAATTAAAGGTAATTTAGTTCATTAATATATAAGCATGTGATTTAAAGAATTTATTCAATTTTCGTGAGTGAATGCCAAAGAAAAATGAAAACAAAATTTAACATAAATATCATTTTCTCGTAATAAGTAAAAATTGTTTATTTATTTTCTAATATTAAACATTTATATAATTTTTAAATTGCCTCTAAGTAATTAACTTCATTGTTAAATATTTTCCAAATTGGAATCGTCTATATTCTTCTGTGTTATAGAGGTTAGAATTGGTTTATTTTTCTTGGATATATTGATTTTTTTATTCATTTCTTTTAATATATTTTATGAAAATATTTGCTACAAGCATTTTTTAAGTTAATTGAAAAAAAATTTTAACACTAAACTTAATATTTTAATTGAGATAAATAATAATAACTGTATTGATATTTATTTATGTGTTTAAAAAAACATTGATTTTTATATTATAAGATTATGTAATATTTTTTGTAATTCTTTTCTTCTTTAATAGCTTTAAAATGAATAAGAAAGGGAATATGGCAATCCCTTTTCAAGATAATATGATTCTTCAAACGAGGAAATATTTAAAACGTAAAATAATGTGTCCCGAAGCAAAATACCGGCATCATGAAAAGGAACGTCAATACGTTCTGGATTTAGTGAAACGTACCGTTGAAACGGGCGAGAGTAATTCTGCTCTTTTAATTGGTCCCGAGGATGCTGGAAAAACAACTGTAAGTATTGAATTACAATAAAAAAAAATACTTAATTATTTTATTCGCTAATGTAAAATAATAATTATAAACATCATGGTTCACTTTTTTATTCACATTTTTTCAAAAGAAAAATCACTTAATATACTAATAAAAATCTTGATTATTTTCTCCTTTTTTTGAAATTAATCTTAATCAAACAAAGTTTTGATATCCAATTAACTAAATATTTAATTGATTTGAACCCTCACATTTGGTTATTCAATAAAATATTTTCTTCATTTAACAAATTTTTAAAAATAAACCATTATGTGTTAAAAAAAACTAAAATTTTTGTTTAAAAAAAGCTAAAATGCATTTTTATTAAAAAAGAAAAATATTATTGTTTAAAATAAGACACACAACAAATAAACTTTTAAAACTTATACATTTTTAACAAAAAATGTATTTAAAAAAAAATCTTTAAAAATCCCTTTCGAAAATGCATTTTTGAAAAAAAAAATCAAAAATAAATTTGACTATTTTTGGGTGAATGACACGATTTTTTAAACGAAAACTGAGGTTATTATTATTTATTGTCCCTAAAAGTCCCCCATTTTTAACAAAAAAATTAATTTAATTTTTAAAAGAATAATTTTTAAAAATATTCATTTTCTACCAAAATTTAATGAATTTATAACAAATGTTTGAAATCAAATAAATATCTAACACATTATGCCATCAAAGAATTTGGATTCAAAATCTATTAAATCTTATCCAAAGGAAAATTTAATATTTATTAAAAAGTTTTGATAGAATTTCTATCAAATTACATTTTGCAAGCCTCAGATTACATTCGACTTTTTCGATTTCAATCGACAGTTTTCCATGTGACTTTTTTTACTTTTAAAAACATTTTTTTAGATAATTACGACTTTTTTTTAGTATAAAATATATAAACATCTTTGCAAATTTGAATTATTCAAAAAAATATTAACTGAAATACTTTAAAAGTTCTTTAAAAATTCCATTATTTAAAATAATTTTTCAAAATTAAAATTCTCTAAAATTCAAATATTGTATAAAATTTTATTAATAATTTTCATTAACTCTAATTTACAATAATTTCAATAAAAAAATTTCCAAAAATTCAATCATTTCTAAAAAATTTTCCAAATTTGAATTTTTTCTAAAAATTTAATAAAAAATTCTTTGTTAAATTTATTACTTCTATTATTCTAAATTATTCTTATTATTATTATAGAATTATCATTCTATAGAACCACAAAATACCCAAGTTTGGAGAAAAATTTTTTTCACCTTGATCTTTCTCTTAATTTTACATGTAATTTACCAAATAACATTATTTTTCTTGATATTTAAAATCCCTTTTTACAAAAAATCTCCTTTTTCAACTAAAATTTAACAAAATAACAATTTTGACAAAAATCCATTACTCACAAAAATACAAATATCCACAAAAAGTTCATCTTATATTCTATAATTATTATTAATTATATTTAGAAATTGTATAAAAATAGTGGTATTTTTTCACTACTTTTTTTTCTCCTTCACAGCTTGTAAATAGCGTTCTTAAAGAATTGTCAAGTTCAAAAAATTTTAAAGACAATTGTTTAATAGTAAATCTACATGGATTAGTGCATACGGATGATCGTTTAGCATTAAAAGACGCGACACGTCAAATGCAACTTGAAACAGCAGTTGGTGATAAAGTATTTGGTTCGTTTGCTGAGAATTTGTCATTTCTTTTAGATTGTCTTAAAGCAGGCGATAAAAAACGTAGTAAACCAGTTATTTTTATTCTCGATGAATTTGATTTATTTTGTGAACACAATAATCAAACATTATTGTATAATTTATTTGATGTTGCACAATCGGCACAAGCGCCAATTTGTGTATTGGGAATAACAAGTCGTTTAGATGTATTGGAATTACTTGAGAAACGTGTGAAATCACGATTTTCATCGCGACAAATATTTCTTTTGCCAGGCGATAAAACTGATGGACAATGTGCAACAAATGAAAAACCATTTGACGAACGTCTTATATTGTTTAAAAATCTTTTAACATTACCCGACGATGAGAATGTTAATGGAATTGAACATGAATTAGAGGATTGTAATATTGATGTGAAATTTGCAATCTCATGGAATGAAACAATTGTGAAACTTGCAAAAAATCAAACACTCATCAATTTATTGAAGTCAATGTATAAAAATGATACGAGCGAGAGAAAATTTCGTAATTTTCTTGCAATTGCTATTACATATTTGACGGAGAATCATCAAAAATTGGAAATTGACGATTTTGTTGAGGCTAGTAAAGTTTATTTACAAGATGATCGTGTCGCTATGTTGAAGGGTCTCTCTGTTCTGGAAATGTGCCTGGTAAGATTTAAAAACAAAAACAGATTTTTTCCCCCCATATATTGAATCATTTTTTTTTATCACTTTTCTTTGTGACTTTGTAGTGATATATTTTTAAAGTCACGTAGCATTGAATCAATATTTTTTATAACCAAATTTTCATTTAATAAGATTTTTCTTTTATTCAGGACTCGGATTATACGACTTTTTGTTACATTTTTTACAAAATTTTTCAACAGAATACATCTTTTTTAGTATGCAATGCAGATCTTCTTCATTTCAATTAGTTAAAAAATTGTTTAAAAAAATTATTCTCTAAATTAATTATTTTCAATAGTTTTAATGAAATTCTTCACAAATTTAATTATCTTAAATTATTTTTCAATTAACATTTTTATACAATTTAATAATTGTTTATAATTTTAAAAAAATTACTAAAAATTTCGATTCAAAATCACTTGAAATTCAATTATTTTCAAAAATTTTAAACCTACAGTTTTATATCAAAAAATTTCTGTAATTTAATAATTTCAATTTTTATTTGTATTTTCCATAAAATTCTTCAACAACAGAAATCATCGAAAGTTTCAATTAAAAAAACACTTGAAGTTAAATTTTTTTTTAAAAATTCTAAATTTGTAAATCTTCGTAAATTCAAATATTTAAAAAAAAATTTATCTAAAACTATTTGATAAATTATATTCTATTCTGATAATTTCAATTATTGTCTGAAATTTAACAAAATCTTTTGTAGTTCAATTATTTCTAGAAATTTCAACTGCAACTCTTCCAAAATTCAATTATTTTTAAAAAATTTTAATATTCCTTTAAAAATTCAGTTATTTAAAAAAGTTTCAAATAAAAATAAAAATTTAGTTGTCAGTAATTAAAAAAAAATATTACAGCAATTTAAATTCAAAGAAAATTCATTTCAAATTTAAAATCTTCTGCAATTCAATTATTTAAAATAAAAATTCATTTAAAAGTCTTCAAAACTTAATTATTGTCCGAAATGTTTTTGACCATTAAAACTAAAAACTATATCAAAACGTTTAATTCGAATAAATTGTGTAAATCAGACTTCAAAAAATTTTTAAATAGGAACTTTAAAATTTTCTTTACAAGTTTGTCCTCATTAATTAAAGTTTTGAAAATTTGTCTTAGTTCGATTTTGAAATATTCGAAATAAATTTTCTTGATAATATATCGAATTATTTCTAATAACATTAGTTATTTAAAGTAAAATATCTATTAACTAATTAAATTTAATTAAAATAAAAAAATCGACTTTTTTGGAATGTAAATCGACTAAAACGACTTTTTTTTGTGCCTTAAAGTCGATACGAGGTTAGTTTATTTTAAACTAACTGAATTTTAATGTAATCGAATTTTCATTTAGCAGAAATATAATTTAACCAAATTTTTTTATAATTTCATTTTTATTTAGGAAAATTTTTAATTAACAAAAACTTTTATTCGTAAGAATTTCCATTTAACAAAATTATTATTAAACCGAATGTTCATTAACCCGTATTTTCATTTAATAGAATTTTTAAATATTTAAATTTTCTTTTAGCACAATTTTCAACTAACAAAAAATTTTTAATCGATTTTTTATTTAACTAAATGTTCTTTATTTAATAGAATTTTCAATTAAACAAATTTTAATTTAATTGAATAATTTATATATTACGGAATGGCTAATAATTTTCATTCAATTACTTTATATTTTCTTTTTAAAATTCCAGATAATAGCAATGTATAAAGAGACAGAAATATGTAAAGATGAACCTTTGAATTTCGAAATTGTTTACAAATGTTATAATTTATTTGCTACACAAAATTCTTCTATTCATTCCGTCCAAAGGCCAGTTATTGTAAAAGCTTTCGAACACATTAAAGTAAGTATTTAATTAAGTTTTTAAAATTAATTAATTAAAAAATTTTAATTCTAAATCACATTTCTTTTGAATTTTAATTTTCTTTGAACTTAAATTGATTTTTGAATTTAATATTACATTATTTAAATAACTATAAGTATATTTTTTTAATAATCTGAAGGAAATGATTATTACAATATTAATAATAAAATAAATTTTTATTTTTAAATTAATCAATTTCAAATTATTAAATAATTAATAATCTATTTTTTTAACATATGAAACTAATGTCGTATAAATAATTTTACCAGAATTTAGAAATCTTACAACCAATTGGAGGCAATAATTCACGAGTCGAGAAGGAATATCAATTTTACAAGTTTATCTTGACTCCACAGCAAGTGATTGAAGGAGTGAAAAGTTACACAAATCTTCCAACTGAAGTTTATCAATGGGCTGTGAATACTTATGCAGCGCGTTAAAAAAGTCTTTTTTTTTTTGCTTTGTAATATTTTTCCATTCATATACATATATACATAGTATTTAGCGCATCTTCCATAATATTTTTGAGACTGATTTGTGAAAGAACAAATTTTAAAGCGACAAACTTTTAAAAATAAATTTTTCATCTCAAAATCCATAAATGTCAATTGGTTTAAAATTTTTTTTTTAATGCATTCAGTAATTTTATATAATTATATGTAAGTTATTTATCTTTAGAAAATAATTTGTTAAATTATTTTTATCTAGTCACTAGAGAATTGTTTGTTTATTTGTATCGTCTCAAATGTTTTTTATTTCTTATACATTTTCTTTTTTTTTTTAATTAAAATTATTTATTTTTATGTTTAATTTTAATTAAAAAAATTTTTTTTACTATAGAATCTGTAAAGATGACAAATGTAAGCGAAAATTGTGTGTGCATGTATGTAATGTATGTGTGTGAGTTTCTGTGCAAAATGTAGTATTTTATTTAAAAAAAATTGCACAGAGTATTTCCATATCATAGAACATTTGTTTTTTGTAATATTTATAACAACTAATTAATCATTCTTTAAAGCTTTTTAGAAAACAAATTATTCGCAAAATTTGTGAATACTGTGAATTTTTTTTTTTCTCAAATTAAGACAAATTGTCATTGTACAAGTTCAAGTTTTATAGCTCCGAGAAAAATTGAAATTTTTGAAAAAGAAAAAAAAAGAGAATTTTGTTAGAAAATTCATGGGGAGCATGTCCAAAAAAAAAGAAAAAAAATATTGTCCACGAATTAAATTATTTACATTTCTTGTGTGACAATAAATAAAATATGTTTTATTCGAGAATAATTCATTTTATTATTTACATATACAAATTATCTCATTCGATCCAAGCCAATTGTGTTGTTTTTTCATTATTTTTCGTATTTTTCATTATATTTGCCTGTTTTAATGAAACTTCAGGTGTATTAACATTTTTCACATTAAATAACGTGCTTTTTGATTTTGAATAACGTCTCACAAGTTTCATTACTTTTTCAATTTTTTTCGATTCTTTGTATTTCGTCAGAAATGATTCATGACCTGAGAAAAATGATTATTATTATTTAGAAAAAAATTGATTATAATATTTAGCTGTTTTTTTATTTTTGCACCTGGATTTTGACCAACGGGAACAACATTTGCTAAACGTGTTTCACTACTAAATGGTCTCAGTGCGGAAAAAGCGGGAGTCAATCCAATCTGAAAAAAATTTACCTAAGTGAATTTTTTTAGTTTTAAGTAAGTTACAAAAATTAAAAAAAAACAAATTCTGACAACAACTCAATTTTAGAGTTTTTATTTGAAACTTTTTTAAATAATTGAATTTTTAAAGAAATATTAAAATTATTGAAAATAATTGAACTTTAAAAGAGTTAGGTATAGTTGAAATTTTTAGAAATAATTAAATATCAAAAGATGTTTGTTAAATTTCATACATTAATTAAATTTTACAGAATTGAAAATAATTTATTAAATAATTTTAGACAACATTTTTTTTTGTGATGAAGAATTTATTAGAAATTATAAAAAAAATTGAATTTCAAAAGTTTTTAATTGAAAAATGCATCAAATAATTAAATTTTTTTGAAGAATATTATAAAAATCATTAAATTTTGGACGAGTTACAGTTGACATTTTTAGAAATAATTAAATTTTAGAAGGTTTTAAATTGAAATTTTTCAAAATAATTAAATTCAAGTGATTTTGAATTGAAATTTTTTCGTGATTTCTGTTGCTGAAAAATGTATGAGAAATTGCATACAAAAATTGAATTTAAAAATTTTTTAATTGAAAAATGCTTTCAAATAATTGAATTTTCGAAGAATATTATAAAAATCATTAAAAATAATTGAACAAAAAGTTATATATAAAAAATTTTAAAAATAATTAAATTTTAAAAGGTTTGAAATTGAAAAATGAATTAAAGTATTCTTTTCGTTAATTTAAAAGAAAAAATTTCTAAATCTTCAAAATTTAAAAAAAAAATGTACGAAAATTTCATATGAGTTTGTTATAACTGTCACAAAGTTTGACGATTAAAAATCATAATATTCCACAAAAATTAGAATGTTCCGAACGTAAAAAAATGAATGAAGATAAATTTGTTAACGGAATCTCTTGATTATTATTATATAAATTTAAAAAAAAAACAATATACAAAATTCAAATTTTTTTCAAAAATATTATTTTATAAATATTAGAAATTATAATTTTAGAAAACCAATACATTTTTTAAAATAATATATATTTGAAATTTTGTTAAAATAAAAAGAAAATGAATTTTTATGAAAATTTTACAAAATTATAAAGTAAGTTTATTAAATTTAAAAAAATTTCCTTATATTTTGTACCTTTGTATGTCGGATATGATGTTCCACTAAATCAGCACCTAATAATTCATCATGCATTGACATTCTAATTGGAATGATTTTATTAACAATCTGTGAATTTGAAATAAATATTTTTTTTCTCAATATTCCGTCATAATTGTTGGAGAATTATTTTCAATTAAATTTTAATATGTTTACCCATAATAAAAGCAATGTTGTAATAAAACTCCAGATAGTGAGACACAAAACACTTAAACTTTGAATGCCCAAAAGATACCATCCACCTCCTATTAACCAGCTTTAATCAGCATTCGTTCCGAAAAAAAATGTAATTTATAATACAGTAGTTTGAAATTATTACCCTTAAATAATCCTTTTCTTCCTTTTGTGGTTGTTAACGGTTTTGGATCATCCGCGAAAAATCCTATTGCAATCATACCCCAAATGCCACTGACTCCTATTTGAAAAAAAAATAAAAGAAAATAAAAAAACCAAAAATTTTATTTTAATTATTTTGATTTTAAGTTATTATAAAAAACGCACAATATTTATTTTAAGAGGAGGCAACACCCCTAATTTTTGACAATTTTTTTTTAATGATTCTTAATAATCTTTCGCATGGATTTTAAAAATTTTAATTTTTTCAAGAAATTAAAATTTTCTTTTCTTGATCACCTTGTAAATTTTTAGAACCCAAATTATGCAAAAAAAAAAAAATATAACTTCCTTTGACAATTTATAATATTTAAGTGGGTCAAAATTTGGTGTGGTGCCTCCTCTTAAGATGTTGCAATGAATTTTAAAAAGATTTTTAAAAAAACATAATTTTTTACCATGTGTTGCAGAAGCTCCAACAGGATCATCAATGCCTAATTTATCAATTATAGGCATAAATACGCAAGTTAATAATCCACCAATCATTCCAATAAGTACTGATTCCCAAGCCCGAAAGAGAAAACAGCCACCTTAGAAAATAAAAAAATTATCCGTTTAAACAAACTCTTTCTCGTAATCGAATCTAGATTAATTTTCCAAAAAAAAAAGAAAAATTTCTACTTTATTTTAATGAGTAAATTCAAAATTTTCAGCAAGATTTTAAATAAAAATTTTCACATAAACATTATAAGAACTTAAATATTGTTAAGAAGGAAAAAAAATTATTTAACTATAATAATTCGATTATAAAATCTTCTTTATTTCAATTATTTAACAAATTTTTAACTACAATCTAAAATTTTCTGAAATTTAATAATTTCAATTATAACTCTTCCGAAATTCAATTATTTGAAAGCATTTTTCAATTAGACAATTTTAAAGTTCAATTATTTTCTTTAATTTTTAATAAATTCTTCAACAACAGAAATCACCAAAAAAATTCCAATTCAAAATCACTTGAAGTACAATTAATTTCAAAAATCTGAATTGTAAATCTTTGAAAATTCAATTACTTCTAAAAAAAAAGGTTATCTAAAATTATTTTCAATTTTATAAAATTTCATTATTGTCTGAAATTTAATAAGTTCAATTATTTTTAATAATTTTAATATTTCTTTAAAAATTCAATTATTTAAAAAAGTTTTAAATAAAAACTCTAAAATTAAATTGTTTTCAGAATTATTTTAAAAAATTTGTCCTACCTAATTAGATTTTAAAAATTTACATTTTAGTTCGATTCTGAAATATTTGAAATAAATTTTCTTAAAAATATTCCTATAGAATTATTCTTATCTATTGAGGAATTAATAAACTGGATTACATATTTAATAACATTAATTATTAAAAATAAAATACTTTTAACTAATTAAATTTAATTAAAAGAAAAAAATTGATTTTTTCGACTTTTTTAGAATATAAATAGACTAAAACGACAATTGCAAATCAAATGTCATAATAGAATAAATTTAGTGCAATCAGAAAAATGTACTTTATTTTTATTAATTTAATTCATTTAACCATCTAGGGCTTAAATAATTAGCAGGGAAATATTTTTAAGGAAAAGTAAATATTAGGAAAAATTTTTAATATACAATGAGGAAAAACATCAAGGAACGGTATTTTTTTTGTTGCTGAATTCTGTTCTAAGCAACGATGATTCAAAATATAGAATTTTGAATCATTATTTATATACTAACCAGTAATTGCAACTAAGGCACCTAAAATTCCATTAATTTGACTCAAAATATTTATTCCCTTTTCCGGATTGGATAGACTGATAATTAATCCAACTAGTCCTCCTCCCATACTTGCCATTATTGTCGAAACTGCAGCTCGAGCGGCGTATTTCCATTTTTCTCCATTAACACCATAACTACTTCCACTGTTAAATGCCAACCATCCCCACCTGTAAAATCACTTAAATAATTAAATTTTAAATATCTACACGAAATGAAAATAAATATCAAATTTTATAAAAGCATTTTCAAATTTTTGTAAAAGTATTTTCAAGTCGTGGAAAATATTGTAAAAAGCGAAATTTACATATAAGAAATATTAATTATTATTATTATTTTATTTTATTAATTACCATAATACAAACAATCCCAGAATTGCATTTACCGGACAACCAAGCGGCAATGGATCTATTCCATTGTCATATCTTCCAAGTCTTGGTCCAAGCATAATTGCACATGCGAGAGCTAAAGTATTTTTTTTTTTTTTTTTTTTAATTAACTTTTGTAATTTTTAATACTAATAATAATTTATTAAGTCGAAAGGCAAGAACTATGTAGAATAAATAAATGCCTTAAATAAATTTGCATTTATAATAAATTAATTTTTTCTATCCTTAAATGGGAAATAATTATCATAATAATATTGTTATAAACCATATTTTTAAAAATTAAATCGACTGATGTCCAAATTATAATATTATTAAATTATTTTGTAAATTCAATTATTTTTGCTTCTTCAAGAAGAAGCTTTGTATTTATATTGAAATATAAGATGAAAATATATTATAGAAGAAAAAAATATTTTCATATTTCACCAGAAACACCGCCAACTAAGTGAACAGTTCCGGAACCAGCAATATCAACTGCTCCCCAATTATTCAAAAAGCCATGATCTCCCCAAACCCATCCAGCAGGTATACAATAAACAATTGTATTCAAAGATGAGAATATACAATAGGCTTTAAAGTTACAACTGTATTAAAAGAAAATTAAGAAAATCAAAAAAGTATTCATTATAAAAAAAAAAAATTTTGAAATAATTGAATTTCAAGAGATTTTAAATTAGAATTTTTGTAAAAAATTGAATTGTAGAAGACAATAATTAAATATTAAAAAAAAATTTTAGTTAAATAATTAAAAAATATTTTAAATAATTGAATTCTAGAAGAATATGTTTAAAATTATTGAAAATAATTAATTTCCCAAAAGATTTTTATTCTCAAATTTTTTAAATAAGTGAATTTTGGAAAAGCTACTGTTTGTACCAACAAAAAAAAGTCATAGATATTTTGTTTTTAATTTAATAGATTAATTAATTTTATTAATTTTATTTTATAAAATAACTCAAAAAAAGAGTTGCCATTTATTAAAATAAGTTGAAAAAAAGTCGGAAAAAGTAAAAAAAAAAAAGTCGTACAATCAGAGGCCTAAAAATAGAAAAAAATTTTAAATGTTTCTTTTTGTTTTTCTTACCGTTCCGCCATGGCACCAGAAACAATTGTCGTCGATGTTGTTGCAAAACTCAATTGAAAGAGAAATGCAGCGCAAGCTTGACCAAAAATATCGTCATCAACTTTTGGATCAATTAAATAACCACCAATTCCAAAAAATGGATTTGTCGGTTCTTCAGTTCCAAAGCTCATCCCAAAGCCAAACAACCAATATGTTAATCCACCAACAACAATGTCAACAACATTTTTCATCATAATATTCACCTCATTTTTCAGTGACACACAACCTGATTCCAACATTCCAAAACCTTGAAAATCAAAATTCAAATTAATCACTGAAAAGCAAAGTAAAATTAATTTAATATTATTACTATTTTGATTTCAAGTTTTATATTCAACTAAATTAATAAGTTAATAGTAATAATAATAATAATAATTAAATACGTTATAAAAATTTTAATAAATACAAGTTTTTTATAAATGAAAAAACGAACAAAAAGGACAATAAAAAAATTGTTTTTTTTACCTGTTTGCATCGTAAATATAATAAAAGCATTCGAAACAACCCAATTACTGTCATCTTGTCGTAATTTATAAGGCGAACCAATGTAACGTGTTTTATTTTCAATTACATTCGTATTATTGAAATAATAATTTTCCGAATCCATTTTTTTCACACTTAACAATGGTATATTTAAAAAAAAAAAAGAAATTCTTTTCATCAATGTTTCTCAACTTGTTATCGCAATGTCAACGAAGATACTAAATAATCATTGAATTGGGATCGAGAGTGAAATTATTCTTCGAAAACATATTAAAAATTAAAGGTAAACGTCGTCGAAAGAATTTAAATTACAAAATCAAGGTAATGAAAAACGATCTTTTTTTGCCGTTTTTCTTTTTTTTATTTTTTCTCTTCTTTTTTTTTAATGGCCTATAAAAAGCCGTTACATGAATTTTCCACAATAGTCGTATGATAATAATAATATTAATAATAATTTGTCACTAGTTCTCATATACTCCATTAATTTAAAATTATACGCGTAAATATAAGTAAAATTCTAATCTAAAAAAAAAAGATAAAAGAAACATTATCACATAATAATTGCGATGAAAAAAATTTTTCTTCACACTTTTCCGGTAATATGAAAATAATTTTCAAATCCGAAAACACTGTAATTAAATTTACTTTATTTTTTAATTTTTAAAGTAAATATATACTTTCACGAAAATATTTTTAAGAAAATACATTTTTTTTTGTCTTTTTGAAAAATAATATATGCTGTGAAGTGTGATTTTAAATATTGTTAGGAAAAAACAAAATTTAAAAAAAAACCAAATTTGTCATATTTGACGAATATGCCTGACGATTTTTTTTTATTGTTTTTATCCATTTTATATTTTCTAACTTTTTAATTTGCTTTTTTTTGTTTTTTGTTTTTTAATATTTAATTTCTAATGTTGGATAAAGTTCATGCTCGTAGTTTAAATTTAACTACGAGCAAAAACTAAAATTGTCGACATCAGTAACTGTTTTTTTTTTGTTTTGTTTGTTTCTTCTTTTATTTCCATATATTGAATGAAGATAATTGTCGAAAATAAAATTTTTCGAATTAATTAGTGCCCGTACACATTTTCATCGCTATACGCTATATAAAGGAAAAAGTCCTCTTCATGGTGTTCCTGTGAGAAAAAAAAAATTTCATTAAATTTAAACCAAAATAATTAAAAATCATGAAATTCAACAGATTTAATGTTGAATTTTAATTAGAAAATTTTATATTTTTTAATAGGGTCAATCCATTATATTTAATCAAAAGTAGTTTTGAACTTAGTTTTGGAAAAATCTTATAATCCGTTATAATGTTTTATATCCGTACAATTAATTTTTTGATAATATTATTTATTAAAATTTAATACATTTACCATAGAATTTGAATTTAAAAAATGATTTGCACGGAAAAACAGTTGATTTGATAGCTGCGCAAAAATGTAATTAAAAAGCACAGAAATAATTCCGATTATTTGTTCCTTTTTAGTTTTTAGCTACAACCCAAAAAATACCCAAAAAATCCCCTTTTTTTGCAAAATTTTTTAAATTCACTGCCACTTTATTATTTTTAAATATTTTTTTATCAAGTTTTTTTTTTTTTAATAATTGAACTTCAAGTGATTTTTGATTGAAATTTTTGGTGATTTCTGTTGATGAAGAATTTATTAGAAATTACAGAAAAAAATTGAAATTTAAAAGTTTTTAATTGAAAAATGCTTTCAGATAATTGAATTTTAGAGTAATAATTATAATAATTGAATAGAAAAGTTATAATTGAAGTTAATTGAAGAATTATAGTTGAAATTATTAAATTTCAGAACGTTTTAGATGAAAAATTTTAGAAGCTTTTAAATTGAAATTTTTGGTAATTTTATTTGCCGATTTTTTTTTTATTTAAAACAATTATTGAATTACATAAAATTTTAAATTGAAAAATAGTTAAAGATAATTGAATTTGTGAAGAATTTCATTAAAATTATTGAAAATAATTAATTTAAAGAAGAATTTTAGTTGAAAATTTGATAAATAATTGAACTTAAAGAATACATAAAGAAGATCTGCATTGTATACTAAAAAAGATGTATTTTTTTTGTGTAAAAAATCTAAAAAAAAATTTGAAAAAATCGCATCTTATTAAAATAAGTTATATATAAGCCTCCGAATTATAAGATTTTTCAAAAAAAATAGGCCGTAACGACTTTAGGTGAAATATAATGGATTGACCCAATATTATTAATTGATAAATATTGTAGATATATAAAAATATAATAAAAATAAAAATAATAATAATTATTATTATTATAAATATAATATATATTATAATTAATAAAACATATGTAATAATAATAATGAAAAAATTGAAAGAAAAAAAAATTAACAGAAATTTAACGTTGAATTCTAACAGTGACGTGTTTTGTAAAACTTATATTAGTATGCAATGACAAGGCTAATGTTATGCAATATGGAATGTGGCCAAGATGCAAGGAAATAGTTATTATTTCAAATTGAGAAAAGGGCTTTAATTTCAAAAAATATATTACAAAAGAAAATTTCAGTCTTTAAATACTTTTTGTTTCGATATAAAAAAAAAATAAAAAAAAATAAAAAAAATAATAAAAATGTTTATTACCTGATATAACGAACCCATCGTGGCACTTGTTGGCGGAATGATATTGTTTACAAAAAAGAATAGAGCATCCTCAGGACGAAGATGAATTCGTTTGCGAATCAAAAAATAAAATTGACCCACAGTCAAGTCTGATGGTACCAAATATTTCTGCTTATCCAAATCGCTAATTTTTGCCTTTGGCGCTTTCTCGACAATTACCTAGAAAATAAAGAATTTTTCGATTTTGGATAATCATTATTATTATTATTATTTATACACAATAACATTTGAATTTTAATTCTTTCTTTAAATGTAACTTTTCTAATAAGTCACATTTTTTTGAAACTGTTTTAAAAATAAAATTACACTTTCAATGAAATATATTTTTTTTTATTAAAAAAAAAAAATTTGTTTTGACTCCGTTTTTTTACTTAACGATAATATTATAGTTTAAAAATAAAACAGAATTTTTACGTAAAACTTTTTTTTTCTATTTTTAGTACATTTTCGAGATAAAATTGTTTATGAACAATATATTTTTTCTAAATTATTGACCATAAATGCTGAGAACTTTACTTCTTTTGTCAGTTTAAAATAAAAAAAAAAATAATTAAAATACTAGTGTTAAATATATAAAAAATTATTTTAATTATTTTTCTAAAAGAATTTAAAGTTGAAATAAATTTAAAAACTACGCGTTTATTTTTTGATATATGACGAAATAATCAAATTATTCTTGTAAATATTCACGCATTGATAAGAAAAAGCAGTATATCATCATTCTTTTTACAAAAGAATAATAAACATCTACTTAAATATTAACAAAAAAAATTTAACAAACACTAAAGAATCAACATAAAAAATAAATTTGAAATTTTCCTCTCTCCCTCTACTAATTTAGAATAATTTATTAATAAACATAAATTATCAGAAACAAAAATGACAACTTTCCAAGGAAAATACTTTCTCTAGACTTTCTTTCTTCCAATCATAATAATGCTAAATAATACTCGGCTCATTGAAAATAATAACTGAATAAACAATGACATCCGTGGATCGAAATATAAATGATTTTGACGTGTATAGTGTTGAACATTTCTTCGAGCCATCATATATAATGTAAGAATGAAAAAAAAAATAAGATCGATAATAAGGATGCGCACTGCAGAGAAATGTCAACGACCTATACTGTGAATAAAATAACAATTTTATTCGGATGTCATTACAGAATTTGATTTACTATATACAAAAACCTTACGGTAGGTCGTACGACGCAAAAACATGAAACGACCTTGGATTATTCCATTCGGTCGGAATTTACCTTTCATCAGCTCCTATACACTCTTGATAAAGAACAAAAAAAAAAAGAAATCGAACTTTGATACAAATAAAAGAAATAATATCTCAAATGAACAATTTACAAACTGACTATTTAGAAGGTATTTACATATTTGAAAAACACTCACAGGAACCCTATCGGGATATTTTCGTCGAATTTTCTCTCCCTCGGCCTTCCTTTTTTCAAATGAATGTTCCTCCTTGTACTGGAACTTCATTTTATCAGCGCTGAGCACTAAGGCAAAAGCGCTTTACACAAAATTTGTTTCTCAACAAACACAAAATTTGACGTTTCAGGCACTAATGTTTTTCTTTTTCAACTAAACGAAATAAATGCGCGCTTCAAGTATTATATTATAATTAACAGTTTCTCGTCTGTTTTTCCTGTCACAACAACAATCACCAATCGCAGTTGTGTGTGTGTGTGTCAAAAAGTAAGTGCTCTCTTATGCGCGAGATGGGTGGATGAACGATCGTAGAACAACATGACAAATGCGCATTAACAAGCAAAAAATAATCCCGTTTGCGCATCTAAATTTATTATAAATTTCACGAAAATTTTTATATAACAATAATTTTTATATATTTTACAAACTTTATTGAACTATAAACAATTTTTATCCATATAGAATAATAGCGAGAAATTATTTATTTTCATTAATAACAAAATAACATGTGACGAAAATGATATTACTACGCCGTGACGTAAATGTGTAGTACGAGGTTACATGAATCATCTGTTTTGATTTAAAAAAAAAAAAAAGAAACCATCATTCTCGATACACCATAAAGTCAGATTTCATGAATTTTTGTTATCAGGAATAATTTTTTTTTTTTTGCTAAAATAATATTTATTTGTGTGTAAAGCGGTGAAATGAAAATATAAAAATAATTTTTCTAATCAGGACTGTATTTTTACTTTAAGGTGCCTAGGTCAAAAAATTAAATTTATAAAATGCGAATTTTCTGCATAATTTTTATTATTTACGCAGATAATTTTTTTTAAGATGAGGAAAAAAATAATTTTCTTTTTTTAATTGACATATCAATTGAAGTGAATAATTTACTGCTATAGTCAAATTGGCGGGAAAATGTAGAAATTCAAATTAAATTTTATTATAATAAATTAGTTTATCCCTTTAATAGCCGAGTTTTTTGTCTTTACATTAAAAGTAGAATGTTTATTAAATTTGATTATTCTAATATTAAAAATACCCACGGTGAAATTGTAGAGAATCATTTTTTTGAAGAAAATAAGCAATATTACAATGAAATCGAATCATTTTTAAAAAATTCTGTAGAAGCGACATAACAAAAAAATGTTATTCTTATGCAAATTCTATGTAAACAAATAAATTTTATAGGTTTCAAATTTTTTTCTTAAAAATTGTAATCTCATCTTTCAGAAAGTACAATTAATAATATTATTTTAATCATTTAAGTATTAATTAATTATTTTTTCTAAAGGTCTGCATTCCCATGGATAAACGTCCTTAAATCGTCATGATTCTCTGTCAAGAATTTTTTGTTTTTATTTTTAAAAAAATAGAAAATATTTTTCAACAAATAAGCAAATTTTAAATTCAATTTAGTGTTTGTATGTATATTTTATAAATTATTTCATCTAGTAATTTTTTGCAAAAAATTACAATTTTTCAAACATTTGGTTAAGGGAGCTAAATAAACAAATACAGAAAATAAAGAAAAATGTAATTTTATTGAAAATCATAAATTTACATTTTTTTAATTTATTCTGCATCTTCATCATCTTCATCCTCCTGGCTATTGATTTGGAAGTACCTCAATTCGTATGTCTCCCGATCTTTGCAGACAACTCTTAACCAATCACGAAGCTTATTCTTTTTCAAATATCTTTTTGTAAGGTACTTGAGATAACTATAAAAACAGTTTTAACTCATTAGGTGCAAATATCGCTCTAAATTATGGCATTTTGCGTAATTTTTATACTTTAATAAAAAAAAAAGAAGAAAATTAGTTTAAATTAAATTTTTTTTTAAATTTCAAATTTTTAACACCTTAAATATTTACTTTAAAATTAATAATAATAAAGAAATAAAGTAAATTTTATATTAAATAGATCGATACCCACCGTTTAGAAAAATCAATATCACTTGACACGGTGATTTTCATCTTGTTTCTCTCAATAGAAACATTATTTCCAAAGTTGCCGGTTTTCCCGTTAACTTTGATCCTCTCTTGTAAATATTTCTCCTAAAAAAAAATAGAAAAATTTCATGAGAATAGGTATACAAAAAAAAGTATCAACCCTCAAAGCACACACGAAAAGAAAAAAAGTGTTTTAAAACACATTAAACAAATTAAAATTCTCATTTTATGGAATTACATTTGTCATAATTATTTTTGAACCGAATTTTTATTTGTTCGAATTAGTATTTTGTAGAATTTTCATCAAACCGATTTTCTATATTACAGAATTTTTATATAACCGAAAATTCACTTTACAGAATTTTTATTAGTTCAAATTTTTATTTAATATAATAGGCATTTTAAAGAATTTTTATTGGGTAGAATTTCATTGCATAGAATTTTCTTTCAGATAAATTTTCATTTTTTCGAATTATTATTTGATATAATTTCCATATTAACCGATTTTTCATACTACAGAATTTTTACTTAACCGAAAAATCATTTAACAGAATTTCTAATTGATAGAATTTTCATTTGTTCGAAATTGCAAACAGCCGAACAAACAATCGACAGAAAGATTACGGCGCGAATTTTAAAATCAACTAATCACAATTTTATGGATAATTTTTGATTGATTGATTTTAAAATTCGCGCCGAAATCTTTCTGTCGATTGTTTGTTCGGCCGTTTGCAATTTCGAACAAATGAAAATTCTATCAATTAGAAATTCTGTTAAATGATTTTTCCGGAGTCCTACTGTAAATGAAAATTCGAGTAAATAAAAATTCTGACAAATATAAATTCGAACAAAAATTCTGTGAAGTTAATTTTCGGCGATATAAAAATTTTGTAATATAAAAAATCGTTTTGATGAAAATTCTGCAAAATACTAATTCGAACAAATAAAAATTCGGCTCAAAAATAATTATGACAAATTTAAATCCATAAAATGAAAATTCTAATGTTTAAATATAGAAAAAAATATTGAAAAAAAAGAAAAGAATTGTAGTTCTTGTAATTTTTAATACTTTTAGCCAGTATTTTAGTTTTACATTCTCGAATAATTATACTATGTATACATTTCAACAATCATTAATTCAATTATTTATTTCATATTTTTTCACTCAATTGAAATATTTCTAAGTTTTATTGAAAAAAATCTCAACTTTCAAATAAAAATAAAAAAAGAGTAAAATTCATTGCCCAATTTATGTTCGAAAACATATTTTTTACTTAAAAAAAAAATCAAAACATCGAAAATTTATAATGAAAAAAGATGTATAAAAAATATAAAATTTAAAAAATTCAAATTACTTACAAAGCTAGCAACATCCATAATATTGTCCTCGACCGGATGTGTACAGTCGATTGAGAACTTCAAGCAAACCTTCTTTTTCTGGCCTTTGCCACGAAGGGCATGTTTTTTGCCCACAGGGGCCTTAGCTTTTTGGACCTTGGTCTATTGAAACAAAAAAAAAACACAAACATTAATTAACAAAATTTAATGAGTAATTTAGAAAAATATTAAAACAAAAGTATCTTTGGAGTATTTGAGACGTGACAGCTATCAACAATGCGTGTTCAATAAAAAGTGAGGTTAGAAAAGACAATTTCTATTGTCATTAATTAAATAATTTCTATTTACACAAATTAACACTAAATAACCACAATTATCATTTCACGTAAAATAATTTAATATCACAAATTTAACACAATATTTTAAATAATTAAAATATGTAACTTCATCACTCAGGTATGACAAAAACAATCCACTTTTGATATAACCATCTTTTTGAAATTACAAACATACTTGTGTAAATTAAATAAAAAGTATATTAAATTTTAAGTGAATATAAAAATTTTCTTTATAAAATAAGTCAATAAATAAAGAAAATTGAATAATTTTTAAGAAAGCATAATCTTACCGCAACCATTTTTAACGAGAAAACCGAACGAAAGAATTTTACCAGAAGAGCGCATGCGCCAATTCTAATTTGATAGATGGCGCTAGAAACATTTATCAATGTAGCCACCTTATAACGCGGCAAATTTTGAATTTTTATAAGGACAGTTTTATAATTCAAAAATTGTTTCTAAGTAATCGTTAAAAATTTTCAATTAAATTAATAATTGAATAAATAATTTTGAATGTGTACTTACCATTAGAATGTAAATTGGGTTTTTAAAAACTGGAATAATAATATAAATTCTTTATTTGAAAATTAAATGTAAAACAAATTTTTTAAATATTTAATTCAAAATATATTTATGAAATATATACAAATAAGTATATATATACAAATATTTTGCTCTTCTTCATTAAACAGATATAAATACATGTATTAATGTATTGATCGTAAATTTACATTTATTCTGCATCATCATCATCTTCATCATCCTGAGAATTAATAGCGAAATAACGAAGCTGATAGGAGTCTTTATCTTTTGAAACTACTCTCAACCAGTCACGAAGCTTGTTCTTTTTCAAGTATCTTTTAGTAAGATATTTGAGATACCTATAAAGAAAAACAATGTTATTTTATTGGGTAAAAATATCTCTGTTAATTATAATATTTAGCGTGATTTTCATCCTTTAACAGTGTTCCTTAATGGCAGGCAGTGGTTGTCTTTAAAAAAATGAGGTACATTTAATTTCAAAAATATTATTCTCCCAATTCGGACAGAAATGGCAAAATCGGAAAAAATACCAGCTATCCTGAGTTTGTGTACTTTCATTTGCCTCCAAGAAATTAAAGATTTATTCACATATAAAACGACAGAAAGTAAAATAGGAAGAGTATAAATATTTGCTTAGTACTGAAATTTACCGTCTGGAGCAGCACCTAAAGGTTACAAAAAAAATTCTTATTTTACTTTCTGACGTCGTTTATCGTAATGAATTTTCAATTTCTTGTTTGTAAATGAAAGTACAACATTTCAGGATAATTGGTATTTTTTTCGATTTTTCCGTTTCCATCCGAGTTGAGAGAAAAATCCTTTTTAAATTAAATGTACCTACGAGGAGCTAATTTTTGAAAGACAACCACTGCACCAGTTGAGGAAATTATTCCTCAAACGTCTCAGAAATTAAAAGTTCATGAACCGTACATTGTTGTATATGAAAGTAAAACAACAATAACAAAAAACTATGAAAAAACTTCATGGGTTTTAATTTTCAAATAGGGTTTTTTTTTTTAAAGAATTTTTCATATAAAAGGCCTTGGATCGACTTTAAAGCACAAAAAAAAATTATTGGAAATGATTAACTTTGCAATTAATTTTAAATATAAATTTACATAATAATTTAATTTCTGAAGGGTTACAGTCTAGATTAATAGAATTAATCATATTTCAGGAGATTTTTAATTGAAAATTTGTCTAAATTTGAATTTTTGAAGACTTTTTTAAAAAACATTTTAGGCAATAATTGAATTTTAGAGAATTTTTAATGGATAAATGTTTTAAATAATTCATTTTTCGAAGAATCTTTTTAAAATTAATTATTGAAAATTATTAATTCTGCAGAGTTATTAGATTCGAATTTATAAAATAACTAAATTTTTAAATAGCTACAGTTTTTGCTAAAAATTGTCAAAGGTATTTTGTTTTTAATTTAATAAATCAATTTTCAATTTTATTTTGTAAAATAAGTCGTAAAACAGTTCAGGGTGTCCAGCAAAAAATACAAAAAAAAATTCCCTGACTTTTTCCAATTTTTCTTTAATAAATATTTAATATTAAAAAAATGAAAAGTATAAATTATTAAAGTATTAAGATAATAAAAAATATTTTATTTATTTAGCTTTATTCACTTTTTCTTGCACCAGAAAATTTAAAAAATTCATAAAAATGTTCATTTTTGGCAAATTTTTAAAAAGTTCCCTGTTTTTGAATCAAATTCCCTGACTTTTCACTGACTAAAAAATTTCCCTGACCGCTGGTTACCCTGAAGTTGTATTTAAAAAAAAATCGAAAAAGTTCCTTTTAAAATAATTGACATAAATTCATACCAATTAGTAATAAAATAAATTATAATTAGTGCCATAGCGTAATATAAAAAAAGACAAAAAAAACAAATAAAAATATACATTATATTTAATATAAAACGAAAATATCTTAGTAAAAATAATATTTATCATTGAAAAATATTTAAAGACAATAAAAATAAAGAAAACAAATTGCTTTTATAGAATTAAAAATATTGACACCCACCTTTTAGAAAGATCAACGTCGGAGTTAACCAAAATTGTTTGTTTGGATTTTTCAACGGTAACAACTTTGCCCAAGTTTCCTGTTTTTCCATCAATTTTGATTTTTTCTTTTAAATATTTTTCCTAAAAAAAAGAACAAAAATTTCAAGATATTCACTTTTTTTCCCTATCGCAAAAAGTAATACTAAAGAGATATCGAACAAATTGTTGTTAAAAACAAGAATTTTTTTTTTCATAAGCGCAAATATATTTTTCATCTTTGAATATAATTTGTTTACATAATTCTTTAAATAATGTATCAATTGTTTTTACGTAAAAAAATAGTTTTTTAAATTTTGTTTTCTGATTAAAAGTAAATTTTAATTATAATAATAATACTTCAATTTGTGATTAAATCTTTTTTTTCTATACTTTTAATTACTCGTTATTTTATTTCACTAAATTTATAAATTTAGCCAGAAAATTTTTTTTCCATCTCAAATAAAACGTTAAAATTTTATATTGAAAAAGGGTTTTTATAAAAGAAATGGGTCAGTTCACTGACTTTCGTCTAATAGTGGTTGCGACCAAATTTTTAAAAAATTAAAAAAAAAAATCCCTTTAAAAATATTAAATATCAAAAGTAGGAGGTTCACAATGTGATTTTGTAACCTTAAATTTTTCAATTTTTTTAAAAACGCTATTATTAAAAAACTATAAAAAATTAGATGTTGGAACTCACCAAAAACATAAATCACTTTATTCTGCACAGAGGAACGAAATAATTATTGCAAAAATTTATTATTTTTCGATGATATACGATTTTAACAAAATTTTATTTAAATATTCTCAAGATTTTTATTTACTTATAACTTTTTTGTCGGTGCTCCGAAAAAATTGAGGTTTTGCACAAAGATTTTTTATAATATTCTTTACCTTCTATTAAAATCTTACGATGGTGTTTTGCTTCGTCTTGGAGATATTAATTTTCAAAATTTTGTATTCAAAAAGGTTAATTAAAAGACTTGAAGTTAACTGACCAATTATTTCAAATCGCTACATTTTAATATATTTTTAAAAACAATGGAGCAGTTTGAATTTGGTTAGTTAACTTCAAGTCTTTTAATTAACCTTTTTAAATAAAATTTTTTTAAAATTAATATCTTCAAAACGAAGCAAAACACCTTCGTAAGATTTTAATAGAAGGTAAAGAATATTATAAAAAATCTTTATGCAAAACCTCAATTTTTTCGGAGCACCGACAAAAAAGTTATAAGCAAATAAAAATGTTGAGAATATTTAAATAAAATTTTTTTAAAAATCGTATATCATCCAAAAATAATAAATTTTTGCAATAATTCTTTCGTTCCTCTGTGCAGAATAAAGTGATTTATGTTTTTGGTGAGTTCCAACATCTAATTTTTTATAGTTTTTTAATAATAGCGTTTTTAAAAAAATTGAAAAATTTAAGGTTACAAAATCACATTGTGAACCTCCTACTTTTGATATTTAATATTTTTAAAGGGATTTTTTTTTTTTAATTTTTTAAAAATTTGGTCGCAACCACTATTAGACGAAAGCCAGTGGACTAACCCAAATATTAAATTTAAATTACTTACAAAGCTTCCAACATCCATAATATTGTCCTCGACCGGATGAGTACAGTCGATTGAGAACTTCAAGCTAACCTTCTTTTTCTGTCCCTTGCCACGAAGGACATTTTTTTTGCCCACAGGGGCTTTAGCTTTCTGGACCTTGGTCTATTGAAAAAAAAACAAAAACATTAATTTACAAAATTTAATGAGTAATTTAGAAAATATGAAAATAAATATACAAAACAATTAATGCTATTTCAGGCATCGGATCGACTTTGAGGAGCAAAAAATATTGTTTTAGTTTATCAAGAAATTTTATTTAGATAATACATAATTCAAAATCAAACTGAAAAATTTTCATAAATTTCAAATATTTTTAATAAAAAAATATGAGTTACTTTCTATAAAAATTTTTTCAAGTCTGAATTATGTAAATTATTTTCGAATTCAGAATTTTGTCAAAATTTAAAGTTGAAATGGTTGAAAAAAGTTTCAGCCACTTTTTAAAAATAAGATACTTCATTTGGGAAAAGGGAGAATTTTTACCTAAAAATGTTTAAAATAATTGAATTTTAGAACTGGATAAAAATTATTTGAATTGAAACAAATTGATTAATATTATTGAAAATTATTAATTTAGCGAAAAATTTTAGATAATTTTAAAAATAATTGAATTTTGAAAGAGTTACATATTCACAGGCCTCGGATCGACTTTAAGGCACAAAAAAAGTTGTTTTAGTCGATTTATATTCCAAAAAAATGATTAATGACTATTTTACTTTAAATAACTAATGTTGCAAGATATTAAATTCATTTTATTTATTTATTTATTTACATACACAGCTCCCGTGGTCCAAATGGACCAAACATGAGTAAATAAAATAAGTACAAAAGAAAAATAATTAAACTTAATGAAAAGGAAGTAGAAAAATTGGTAACAAAATTAGAAAATAAAAGTTTTTAGTTATAAACTAATTTAAGCAAAGCTGATAGTAGCAAAATAAAATAAAAATAATAATATTTTATTAATTCTGTAATGAGAATAATTCTATAATAAATATTATCAAGAAAATTCATTTTGAATATTTCAGAATCAAACTGATTGTAAGAAAAATTTTCAAAATTTTATTTAAGTAGGACAAATTTTTAAACAACTTCTTAAAGTTCCATTTTTATAATTTTTTGAAGTCTTGTTTATGCAATTTATTCGAATTTAAAATTTTGTCATAGTTTTTAGTTTTGATAGTCAAAAAAATTTCAGACAATACTTAATCAACTTTTACAGATTTTTAAATAAAAATATTTTTTAAATAATAATTGTGGAAGAGTTAAATTTGTAATTTTTAGAAGTAATTGAATTTCAAAAGATTTTGTTAATTTTCAGACAATAATTAAATTTTACAGAACTAAAAATAATTTATCAAATAATTTTATATAAAATTTTTTAAAAATAATTGAATTTTCAAAGATTTACAATTTTTATTTTTGAAATTGATTGAACTTCATGTAATTTTTAATTTTTAATGAATTCACTAAAAAATTTATTAGAAATTGCAGACAAAAATACAATATAATAATTGAAATAATTAAATTTCAAAAAATTTTAGATAGAAAATTTTAGAAGCTTTTAAATTGAAAATTTTTGAAAATAATTGAATTTCAAAAGATTGTGTTAAATTTCAGACAATAATAATTATAATACGAGAAATTTTTAGTGATTTTTGTTGATGAAGAATTTATTAGAAATCACATAAAAAAATTGAATTCCAAAAGTTTTTAATTGAAAAATTCTTTCAGATAATTAAATTTTCGAAGAATATTATAAAAATCATTAAAAATAATTGAAATTATTTTTATTGAAATTAATAAATTTCAAGTGATTTTGAATTAAAAATTTTTGGTAATTTTATTTGCTAATTTTTTTAAAATTATAAACAATTATTAAATTTCATAAAAATTTTAATTCAAAAATAGTAAAAATAGTAAAAAAAAGTCGCATTTTATTAAGATAAGTCGAAAAAAGTCGTAAAATTCGAGGCCTATATTGAAGATTTTTAGAAATAATTGAATGTCAAGAAATTTTAAAATGAAATTTTTGTGAAATTGAATTGCAGAAGATTCCCAATTAAATACATTATAAATTTTTTATATGTATAGAATTTTGAACAAAAAATTAAAATTATACCTTATTATGCGATAATTATTTATTTACGCGCCAAAAAAAAAAATAATGCATTTTAATGTGAAGTGAAATTAACCATATTTTAGTTTTAAGGTTTTAAACATCAAATCAATTTATAGAAAGTGAGGTTAGAATATATAATTTCCATTCTATTTAATTAAACCATTTTTATTTGAACAAATTAAAAAATCATAACAACCGTAACTAACTGTCATTTCGCGCAACATAATTTATTGTTGCAAATTTTTATAAAATATAATAAAAAGAAACTAGTCACGTGTGCTAAGTGCACACATGTCAAAAAGTAACAAACTCCATCACACTTTGAATGTGCCAAATCTTTTAAAATAATAGCAATACTTTTGAAGATGCAAATATATTTTTGTAAACTCCATAAAAAGTAGATTAAAGTTTACGTAAACTATAATTTTTTTTTATAAAATAAATTTATAAATAAACAAAGAAAATAAAATAATTTTCTTACCACAGCCATTCTTATGCGAAAAACTAGACGAAAGAACTTTAAAAAATTGCGCATGCGCCAATTATAGTTTGACAGATGGCGTTTCATAATCACAGCAGGTTAGCCAACATAAAGCGCGTCAAATTTTGAATTTTTAATCCAAAAATATGTGATTGATTTAATAATTTAAAATATGTAGAGAACAAATAGATTAAATAATTTACAAAAAATGTAATCTTATCGGACATATTTTTAGAGAAAATCAAATTAATTATCAAAGAACAAATGACAATCACAATATTCTGATTGACAATGGTCGCTAGATTAACAGTGTCGACAACATTAAAGCGGAACATTTTGATTTTATTTATATGCAAAAAGAAACTTTTTTTCAATATTTGATTATCGTCAACTAAATTTAATATTTTTAATAATAAAAATAAAATTTTAGTGTAAAATTTTCTAATCATGGAATCAATATTATTGCAAAAAGATAAAAAAAAAACAATTCTTCTTGTCAATAGTTTGTAGTTTTCAAGATGGCTTCATCGGTCCAGTCTGTTACTCGTCAAGTGAAACCAATTTTATCTATAAATAATGAACAAGCTCGAAGAAGAGTAATTCAGTTATATAAAACATGGTATCGTCAAATACCTCACATATGTAAGTATGAATTTTATACAGTTTACACAGTTTATACAGTGAAATAAGTTATCATAAAATTTCTAACCTCGAAATGTATTTTGATATTTCATTCGACATTTTAATAAAAAAAAAAAAAATAATAATTTTATTGTCATATAGTTATAAATTTTAATATACAATTTGTTTATTAATTCTTTAATACTTTTTTAAACAAAGATTGTGTGAATTATTTTTAGTTCGTTATGTAAACTAATTGTTGAATATTTACGTTTCGTAATTTTGGAATATTATTTTTCACAATAAGAAACAAAAAATATTGTTTTTGATTTTATTTTCATGGAAAGTTACAACAATTTTTAGTTAGTTTCTTTAATGTAAAGTTAAATTTTTGTTTTTTAATTCAATGGAAACTAGTTTTTTATTTCAATTATTACATTGTTTTTTAACAATTTCAATTATTTTACAGTAATGGATTATGATATTCCAAAAAATCAAAAGGAATGTAGACAAAAACTTCGAGAAGAATTTATGAAACATGCGAATGTTAAGGATATTAGAATTATCGATATGCTGGTTATTAAGGTAATAAAATTGTAAATTATTTTCTTTATTCTTAATGATATTTAATTTTGTTAATTTTACTTTTAATTAGTTTTAAATATTAATTATTTTCATCTAATTTTACTATAATTCAGGGTATCTAACAATCAGGGAAAAGTCAGGGAATTTCTTTTATATTCTGGAATTTTTTATAAATAAATTAAAGTAACTATTAGTTTCAAAATTTTTTTTTTACTTTTTTCCTAAAGCAAATGCAAATTAAAAAGTTGGCCTTCACACTCAATTATTAAGCATATGATATATCTTATATTCATTAAGTAAATAATTATTTACTACTATTTATTGAATCTAATAAATGATTTTTTAAACTTGGATAACAATTAATTAATTTTTTTCAGCGAAATATTTGCTTTTTTAATATAAATAAAAATTACTTGATACAATTTTATTTTATCGGTTCAACTTCAAATAAAGTAAATTATTCATTAATACGAATAATTTATTATTTAATGCTAATACCCACATTTAACTTATAAAAATTTTTACAGCGTCGAATATTAAATTATCGAATTTCTATTTAGCAAAATTATATAAAGTGGATTTTATATTATGCAAAATTTTCATATCGAAGAATTTACATTTAACTAAAATTCCATTTAAAAGAATTTCTATTTAGCAGAACTCTTATAAAGCTTTTTTTCTAATGCTTTTTTAAAATTTTAAATTAATATAATTTCAATTTAACGAAATTTATGTCTATAAAAATTGACAAAAAAAAGAACTAGGTAGAATTTTTCTTAAATGAGAATTCTGTTAAATAAGAATTAGTTTGAATTAAAATTTTCTTTAATAAAAACTTTGTTAATTAAGAATTTTGTTAAATAGTAATTCTTTTAATTGTGGATTTATTCAATGACAATTCTGTTAAGTAAATATTTTGATAAATCGAAATTTATTGAAATAACAATTTTGTTAAAAAAATTGTTCTTTATTCCATTTTTCTTGACATAAATTCCGTTAAATTGAAATTCAATATACTAGAAAATCTGCTATATATAATTTTACTAAATAAAAATTTGATAATTTAAGATTTGACGCAGTAAAAATTCTTTTAAATTAAATGTTGAGAATATTTATACGTCTCCAATTAGTTTATTTATTTCACTTAAATATTTTATTTTTTACGAAGCATTATTTATTTAGTTCAAATACATATGAAATTAGTGGATAATGATTTAATTGTATCAAAATTAATTTTATTTGATCAAAATAAAAATTTTTTAATGTAATTTAGGTCAGTGAAAAGTAAGGGAATTTTTTTCCTGGCAGTTGTTAGACACCCTGTAATTACAACTTAAAATAATTTAATAATTATATGTATAATAAAGTGTTTAGTAAATTTTTAAATTAAAAATAATTAAAATCCATGTTTCAATTTTTAATTTTATATGAAATTTAATGAAAAAAGCACTTTTCAATGTAAAACATAAATATGTCTCGATATATTCTTTGTTATTATTTATAAGTTGCATCAGTGAATAAATTTTATTCTATTCTAATTAATTAGAATTCAATATTAAATATCAATATAAAAAAATTTACTTCAAATTTTTTCAAGGTAAATATTATATATTTTTTGTTATAATTTGTTTAAAAAAAAAAATTTGTAAAAATTTCATAACTTTAATATATTTAAAATAAAATTTGACAAAAAATTATATTGAAATAAAATATTCTTTCAGGGTCAAATGGAGTTAAAAGAAACAGTTGGTAAATTTAAAAATGCAGGTGGTTTAATGTTTTTCTTTAAAGATACAGTGGAACCAAAACCAACAGATTTTCTATCGAAATTTCTTTCAGGTCACGATTAATGTACTTTTATTAATAAAATCTAGTCTATACATTTAGCAAAACTGTACAGTTTATAAATAACTATATATATATAGCATTAAAATGTAAATTATGTTTTTAAAACTCGTATAATCAGCGTGTTATATTAATCGTATAAATAAATTCTTTAGGTATTTGAAAATTAAATGTTAAACAAATTTTTTAATATTCAATTCAAAATAAATTTATTAAATGCTAAATTAATATAAAGAAAACAGTGTAAATTTATACCAAATATTTTTTATATAGGGAAAAATAAAGCAAAAATACATTGCTTTTTTTTTTAATTTTTTGAAAAATAACAATAATTTTGCCACTAAAATAATTCTTATCACTTTCGTAAGATTTTTTATGCACAATACAAATTTGCAGAGGTAAATTCTAGGCACGTCTATTTCTGTTTTTTCTTTTTTAAAAAGGTGTGTTTTTCACCATTTTTTATTTTGAATTTAAAAAAAACAAGAGGTGCTGAAATCTTGTTCTTATGTTTAATAGAACCTCGATAAGGCAATTAGAAATCATTTTTTCATTTACAGGCCTTGGATTTTATTTATTCGACTTTTTCTTAAATGCTACTTTTTTCGACTTATTTTAATAAATGGCGACTTCTTCGATTTATTTTACAAAATAAAATTGTAATTTTTTTTATTCATTAGTACAATAGATAAAAAAAAAGTTTCAAAAATACACTGCCTTTGATGACGTTAAATGTAAAAAAATCATAAATTCCTTCATTTTTATCAAATAAAAAAAAAAATAAAGAAATACGTATGACCCATCGAATGCCCCATAATAAAAATATATTTTTTTTTTAAATAGGAGAAATTTAAAGAAGTAAAACGATGCAAAATGGATTTATTTGAAAAGGTACATTTTAATTAACCATTATAGAAGGTAATCATTTTTAATTTACATAGTATTTTTTTTACATCGATATATTATTATTCAGTTATATACATTTGACAACGTGATATATTACTAAGCACCTTAGGTACCATCTAGTTCACTTTTCACAGCCATACAGATATTTTGCTTTCCTTCAGTGAACAAATATATAAATACATTTTATTATATTGATGTATAAATTCGCGCGATTTCGCATTATATCTTGTGAAAAAAAGCGTTACGCGACGCGTGGATGAATAATATTTTTCATGCGCACTATTTTATGTACATATAATGTAAACTATACAAATTGAGTCGACCTCTTTTTCTCTCTCATATTCTCTCATATTCTCTCTCTTTCTTTCTTTCTTTCTTTCACGAACAAATCCTAATATTCCAACGAGTTCCAAAGAAATCATCCGATTCTCTTTTCGCTTTCGTCAAACACTTTGGTTAGAAACATTTCTCTCGGTTTTTTTTTTCATTTTTTTATTATAATTATTTTCTTCCTAATGTGTACAAAAAAAATATATATTTATATATTTATATATGTATAATATAATATAAAGAAAACAGACAGAAAAGTCGCACGACAATATAAAAAAAAAAAAAAAAATCTTGAGTTTGACGTTACGACAGTCGGGCATTGTGTAAAAATGTCTCTCGCTCTCATTATTTTTTGTTTTTAATTTTTTTTTCCTAACAATCAAAAAAAAGATGCTCGTAAGTTCATAAAATAATTATAATATATCTTTTCTTTCTTTTAAATATCGGTAACTCTTCAATATACAAAAAAAAAAAAAAAAAACAAATTGCACGGAGGCTTATAAAAAAAATGGCTCTAAAACATGGCAAACATGAACTGATTTCTGAAAAAAAATCTTTTCTAACATCTTAAATTTACAATATACAGAAAATGGATCAGAGATCGCGAAAAATTATTTTTTTTCAATTTTTTACAAAAAAAAAAATTTTCACACTTTGTAAAACTTGTAAAAAAATATTTTCTTTTTAACAATTGGCACGTAGTAAAAAAAAATCGAAAAATTATAATTTGTTTCTATTTGAAAAAAAAATGTAAATTTTTGTAAACACTTATTTATAAATTGTACTTTTTTTTCTAGAAATTTCTTTTTTTTGTGGAGTTGCCGCGTCTCTGATCTTTCATTTTTTTTTTTTTTTTGAAAAGATGAGACGTCAAACGATGCTCTCTCTCTCGGATTGTATATCATAACCGGCAATAACGCCACGTCTCAGTGAAACATCACTGTTTCTTAATCCATTGCCATTGAATAAATTGACTAACCAACTTTTGATTGAATTTCTCGCCGATGATTTTTTATCGGCGGCATTTGGCGTTGAGACAATTTGATCGAGTGATCGCCATCGTTTGACTTGGACAACTTCACCGACACAACCGTTATTGTCGCCGCCGCCGTTATTATCGTCGCTATTCTTTAAAAGTGGAATTTCAGCTTCGTTCGTTGAATTCTCGGCACGAGGCACTATTATCACATTGCCGTTTGGATAATTATTATTTAACACTTTGTCCGTTAATTGTGTTTTCGAATTTGTTCTTATGCACTTGTCACAATTTTCCATTGATCGGAAACTCTTTTTTGTTGTGTCTCTCCAATGTGGCGACAATGATGAATCGTCGTTGTCGTCTTCGTCATGATTTCTTTTATTATAATCAATTGGAAATGGATCGAGCGATCGTGATTCTCTCACAAATGATGGATAATCGCTTGTTGATGATGATGAGGCAATTGTTGAGAGGACACGTGGATTTTTTCTCACACTTGGTCGTGTATTTAAAAATAAATCGTCAAGGGCTAATTTAATGTTTGCCGCACGATTCTCGGCTTCCTCGCGTATTGTCACATTGTCGAGGGTTGTTTTCGATGATGAATTCTCAGTGATGAAAAGAGGTGAACGATCGAGTTTACGAACAAGAAGATGACGTGGCAAAGGACTTGAACCACCGCATTGGGATGTTGTGTCGTCGGGCGTTGGCCTTGGAACACTTGATTGTCTTCGACTTCCGGCACCTAATCCACCGAGTAGCGATGCTTGCCTCGAGTCTGGATTCAATTTAGGACTACGTCTTGGACGACAAAATAGTGGCGGTAAATCGCCAACGTCAACCTGAAAGAAATTTTTTTTTAAAATAGGAATTCATTATACAAAAATATTATTTTGTTTTTCCTTATGACTTTTCCCTGATTTTCTGTCAAAATTAAAATTTTTTCCCTAACCCTAATGAAAATATTTCAAGAGGTTTTCAATAACAGACCTTGGATTGCATGACTTTTTTTTATCTTTAAAATTGAATTATTAAAAAAATACATTAACTTGAATTTTTTGCAAAATCAATTATTTTCAATAATTTAAGACAATTTCTTTGATAATTATTTTAAAAAAAGGAAAAAAACGGTTCTTTGATAAATACCTCTCGTTTTTGAATAGCTTTTTCGGTGGCTCCAGTGAGCCAGTAAGTCTTAACTTCTCCCTTTCCTTTCATTTGTACTAAACCACGTTCCTCGATGGTGTAACCGCCGACAATGTCGAGCGCCTCTTTGCACTGGGCACTTATGTGAATTCTTAATGGTTCTCCATTTGATTCCATTCTTGAGGCAGTGTTAACAGTATCGCCAAAAAGACAATACCTCGGCATTGTTAATCCCACAACACCGGCGACTACCGGTCCTAAAATTAATAAATTCCAATATTTTATTTATTCTACATAATTCTTGCCTTTCGGCTTAGAATAAAAAAATTAATTGAAAATTGTTAGTATTTATTTTTTTCATGATTTTTGAAAATTTTTAAATTCATTTACGAAGAAAAGGGGACTTAAAAGAAAATAGATGAAATTAATACCTGTATGAATTCCAATTCTAAGCTTTAAAGTATCTTGAGGACGATGAATTATAGTGTGATGTTTAACTGCATTCAGTAATTCCAAAGACATTGACGCTATCTCTCCTGCATGTCTGTTTCCATTTTTTATCGGCAGACCAGAAACCTGGGAAAAATAATTTTAATCAGACTATTTTATATTGAATTATGTATTATTGTAAAAAAAAAATATACAATATTTAAAATTATAAATAATTATATATAATCAGGATTATTGATTATTTAAAATATTTTTTTAAAAATATTTTTTCAGAAAATATCATGAAAAGTGAAAAATATTGATCAATAATAATAATAATTCGATTTTTTGGTGCAAATAAAAATTCGAACAAATAAAAATTCTGTGAAGTGAATTTTCGGTTATATAAAAATTTTGTAATATAGAAAATAGGTTTGATGAAAATTATGCAAAATACTAATTCGAACAAATAGAAATTCAGCTCAAAAGTAATTATGACAAATGAAATTCGACAAAATGAAAATTCTAACTAAAGATTTTTAGAACATAATTCATGCCTCCCCACTTTAAAATAATAAAATAAATAATTTTTTTTTAAATTTTCAAAATTGTTAATTTTGTCTTTTACTAATTATGGCTTTTTCTTTTTATTTTGAAACTTTTTTTTTTAATTTCACTGTTGTTAAATTTTTACTAAAAAAAACTATTAAATTAAAACCTTGTTTTATTATTTATTTTTTTGTTTGTTATTTTTAATAATAAAATTTGCCTGATATTTACCACCATGTATGCATCACCAATTGTTTCGACTTTGTAAACGTCGTATCCTTTGATGATGCGATCGAATAACGTATATAAATCGTTGAGAAAATTAACCACCTGAAAGGGTGTACTTTCGGCGGACATCGATGTAAAACCAACAATGTCACTGAAATATATAGTAACCAAATCGAAAGCTTCTGGCTCAACTCCAATTCCATTTGTTAGACAATTAGCTACTGGTCTAAAATACAAAAAAAACTATCATTAACATTTTTATTCTAAAATTAATTTTCTTTATCATTATTTTTAAATTCTTACAATTTTTAAAATTTTATAATTAAAAATTCAAAGGAAAAAATATTATTTAAAAACTATCTAAATTATTGTTATTTTAACGTCCGGTTATTTTATTTATATAGAAAAAAAAATAATACGACAACAATGAAAGAAGAAGAAGAAAAAGAAACATACTCAGGTAACATTCGATGAAGGAGATCCTCCGTTTTTTGTTTTTCCTCGAAGAGAAGGCGCGTTCGCTCACTGACTAGATCCTCGAGATTGTTGGCATATTTTTCCATCATATCCATCATTTGATCCATAATATTGCGATGCCTACCGGCTTTCATTTTCTTCAGTCTGGTTCTAATTATTTTAAAGTCAGGTCGAAGTTCGGGACATTCTGTCCAACAATCGGTAATTGTACTAACAATATATTCGGCACAATCGGCCTCCGATTCCGAGAGAATGTCAACATTAGGTCTAAACGGCGGTTCACCATCGTCCGGGAACCTTTTCACTCGGTCTATGATTTCTGAATTAATTAAATTTATTATTTTTCATTAATTAACATTTATTAAAATATTATAACTATTTTAAACTAATTATTTTATATTATTAATTAAAATTATTAATTTCAATTACCAATTTCAGACCTTGAATCGCTTTTAAGGCTCAAAAAAAGTTCTTTTAGTCGATTTAAATTGGAAGAAAAAAAAATTTTTTAATTTTAATAAATATTTTATTTCTTTCTTGAAATCAAACAGGCAAATTTTTATGAATTTCAAAAATTTAAATAAAAAAAAATATGACAGTTACTTCTTTTAAACAAATTTTCAAGTTTTATTTATGTAAATTATTTACGAATTCAGAATTTTTTTTTTTAAATTTGGAGTTTTGCAATGGTTAAAAAAAATTGATTTAAGAGTTGGTGAATATTTAAAATAAAATCATATAAAAGTATTAAAAATTGGTGATTGAAATGATTTTTTTTTTGCTCATTCAATTAGCTAAATTATCTACTTTTCTAAATTTATTTTTCACTTACCTTTGGGCTCTAAATTTACTCCACCGTAAGGTCCTTTCCTACCGATCATTTCATAAAGTATAATCGCAAACGAGTATATGTCCCCTTCTTGGGTCCCTCTGATTGGAGCATTAAGACTCCTTAGTAACTCCGGCGCCTTCCAAAACAAGTCTGTAATTATTAAATTAACAAAACTTTAATTCACTTTCAATTATTTACCTTGTTATGACATTTTACTATCAATTTTTTAATATTTATTAACATTTAATTCCGTAGTTTTAAATTAGAAAAAAGTCAAATTTGATTTCAATTTCAATTATAAGCAAAAAAATAAAAACAAGAAATTATAGAAAAATTAGTAAAAAAGATACATTAATTTTATTTTATTTACCAAAAAAATACACCGATAGAATTATTTTTGTGTGAAAATTCAAAATTGAATCATCATTTTCGAAATGAATTTTTTTTAATAGCTTTCTTTGTCGTAAATTTTATTATCTTTATTTAGACAGTACGAAAGAGGAGATTTTTTAGCTCGTTTAAAATGTAAATAAATAAATAAATAAACAAAATTATTATTAAGAAACAAGAATAAATGAAGAATTTTTTATACTTCGATAATACTGATGTTCACCGATGCTATCGGACTCGGCACAGTGGCGCATATCGTGAAGACCAAAATCAGAAACTTGAAGAACCCAGCGTGAAGTCACAACGCAATTGGAAGACTTGAGATTACCATGGCAGACTAGTACGGATGACTCGTGAATGTACAACATACCCTGATGTAAAAATAAAAATAATTTTCTTTTTTTTAAAATCATTACAATAAAGTAAATATTATATTATATAAAAATGATATCAATTTCATTTTACACTTCTTGGTTAATTAAAAATTTTACCTTAATGAGATCATGAACTAATGATGCAATGAACATATCGTCTAATTTTATATCTTCATTTTCAATGATATCCTGGAAAAAAGAACGGAAAATTATCAATTTTTGCATTAAGAAATATTTTTTATTTCTCATTTAACTCTTTAAATTCATAAATAATTCTAATAAATAAAAAAAAATAGAAAGTAATAATTAATAGAAAATAAAATAACAATATAAATAATAAAAATTAATTTTAATTTAAGTTTTAAATTTACGTTTTGTGCAATTATTTTGATGTAATATAAGAATAGAAAGATGTAAACCGGAAGTTCGTCCGAAACCGAAAGGTGTGGACTATGAATAAATAAATAATAAAAATTAATAAATAAATTAAGTAAATAAAAATATGATAAAATAATAAATTAGAAAGTTAAAATTTAGACATAACAATTCTATTAATAATTTTTAATAATAGAAATATTAATAAAAATATATAAATTTAAACTTTCTTAATTTTAATTAAAATTAGATTTCATTTTGTTTTCTTTTCTATTATTATACATATATAAATAGATTAGAATGAAAAAAAGGAAATTTTTTTCCGCAAATTGAATTTCGATACTAAATATTATCTATACTTACGTAAAGACTTCCTTTGGCACAATAATCGGTAATTAATAATATCCTCATGGGCTCGACGCACGCTCCAATAAAAGAATTGAGATTACCGTGTCTTATTTCACGAAGAACGCGCATCTCTTTCATAACGTCTCGTGAAATGTCTTTTTTCTTGGAAAATTTCAATTCCTTTATTCTAACTACCACTCCATGATAGTGACCAGTTTGTGCAAATACCTGATTTCCACATCTTGACTCATAAGACATAGCACTAACTAAACTTAACTGAAAAATGAAAAATAAAAAAAATTCCATTAAACCGCCAAATTGTTTAATTTATTTTTCTTTTTAAATATACTCAAAAAAAAAAACATATGTATTTCGTTAATTAGGGACGTATGAATATGTTCTAAAAATCATTAGTTAGAATTTTCATTTTATGGAATTTCATTTGTCCTATTTACTTTTGAGCAGTAATTTTTATTTGTTCGAATTAGTATTTTGCAGAATTTTCATCAAACCGATTTTCTATATTATAAAATTTTTATATAATCAAAAATTTACTTCACAGAATGTTTGTTCGAATTTTTATTTGTCAGAATTTATATTTGCTCAAATTTTCATTTAACATAATAGTCATTTTAAAAAATTTGTATTGGGTAGAATTTCATTGCATAGAATTTTCTTTCAGATGAATTTTCATTTGTTCGAATTATTATTTGATATAATTTCCATATAACCGATTTTTCATACTATAGAATTTTTACTTAACCGAAAAATCATTTAACAGAATTTCTAATTACATAATAGAATTTTCATTTGTCCGAAATTGCAAATGACCGAACAAACAATCGACAGAAAGATTTCGGCATGATTTTTAAAATTATCCATAAAATTGTGATTGGTTGATTTTAAAAATCGCGCCGAAATCTGTCTGTCGATTGTTTGTTCGGCCGTTTGAAATTTCGGACAAATGAAAATTCATCTGAAAGAAAATTCTATGCAATGAAATTCTACCCAATAAAAATTTTTTAAAATGCCTATTATGTTAAATGACAATTTGAGCAAATAAAAATTCTGACGAATAAAAATCCGAACAAATAAAAATTTTGTGAAGTGAATTTTCGGTTATATAAAAGTTTTGTAATATAGAAAATCGTTTTGATGAAAATTTTGCAAAATGCTAATTCGAACAAATAAAAATTCAGCTCAAAAGTAATTAGGACAAATGAAATTCCATAAATTGAAAATTCTAACTAATGTTTTTTAGAACATAATCATGCGTCCCATAATTTTCATTATTTATTTATTTATATTTTTTAAATTGAGCAATAAATGTTCAAATAATTGAATTTATAAAATAATTTAACATGAAAAAATGAAATTTACGAAATAATTGAATTTAAAAATAATTAAAATTTAAAAATTAGTGAAAATTTAGAAAATAATTTGTTCATTAATCGATAAAAAATTTAAAAATAATAAATAATTCTTTTACTTATATTCAAAATAACAATTTTTTTCATTATTTACTCAAAACAAAATTTTGAGAGATTGTTTTATCTCCAACAAAAAAAAAGTTAAATAAAAATAACTAATAAAAAAAGAAAAAGAAAAGAAAACTGTTTTTTATGATAATAATTAAACAACAATAAAACGTATAAATAATAAAAGAATGAAAAGTTTATAGAAATCATTTAATTTTGTGACTCTACGTACTTTACTAGGTGACGACATCAAATTGTCCAGATGGGGATAACCGTGTATTTCATTTGGATCAATTTTCCAAAGTAATCCCTCAATTTCCTGTTCGATTTTCCAACGACGATATATACTTATTGTGACTACAGTGGCACAAAATAATAAAGCCGCTAAAACGCCAGCAGCTATTATGCTACGAAGATGCATATCATCTTGAGGACAATGTTCATTTCGAAAACCGCAACCTGGTTCAGCTTCCGGTTTATTTTTACCTGGCCAATCCATTGCTTCTGAGGGCCGATAAACCTATTAAAAAATAGAAAAATGTGTTTTTTTTTTTGCAAATCGGGATATCCTCTATTTTTCCAAACTATTAAAGTTTATTATTATTTTAATTACTTCTTTGTATTTTAATTAAAATTCTTCCAATTATACTTTGAACAAATTATAAAAAAATTATTTCAAATATACAGAAATTAATTATAAATGATTTTTTCTTTTTAAAAAAATTTTTCAATTTTATTAACATATATTTTATTATTTTATTTTAATAATACTTATTTATATTATTTCACTAATAATTTTATTATATTACTGTAATATAAAATATTATACAATATTTATTACTGTAAATAAATAAATATTTTTTAATTTATTCTTTAAAAATAATAATAAAGATTCAATAAAATTAATGGTTAATATATTAAAGATCTCTTTTCTTGATTGAAGAATAATTTTTAAAATCACTAGTTGAAGAAATTTTCTTTTAAAATAAATGAGAAATTAAAATTCACGATTATAATGATTCGATGATTTTTTTAACAAAAAAAAAATTTCAGAATTAATATATACAATATAAATAATCTGAATGGATGCTGTAAATGACTCACTCACTAGATTTTCACCCTGATGAAATTGACCGACTGGTTTCATTTGATAATCACAGGAAAAATTAAAAACTTGAAAAGGGTCTTTTTTAAGAGCAAGAACCGAGAAGTTCCCTTCCGAATCACCGTGTTTATCCAATTTGATTGTAGCTCCACTTACGCCTAGGAAACAAAATAATCTTTATTTTTTTCATTCAATCAATTTATTTCTATTTTTTATAATATTCTTCCTTTTATATAAAGAATTTGTATAAATAGGCCTCGGATCGACTTTAAGATGCAAGAAAAAGTCATTTTAGTTAATTTAAATTCCAAGAAAAAAGTAGAAAAAGTCAAGTTTTGATTTTTAATAAATTTAATTGGTTAATAAATAATATTTTATTTCAAATAACTATTGTTATTAGAAAAATAAATTAATTTTATTAATTTCTTAATAAGAATAATTCTATAGGAATATTATAAAGAAAATTTTTTTCGAATATTTCAAAATTGAACTAAGACAAAATTTTGTTTTTTTGTCTCTACTGAAAGAAAATAAAAAAAGTCTTACAATCCGAGGCCTGTATAAAGAATTTTAAAATTCATTTTTTTTATCAGTTTATTATTTTGTAGGTTTTTTTTTTTTTTTTTTTTTTTTTTTGTTAACACTAACTTTGATATGTATGATTTTTAATGATGGTTTCTATTATTTGAGTTCCATTGCTGGCAATTTCCTCCAATGTACTTTCAGGATTATTTCGCAAAAGTTGATCAAGCGCTCTTGCATAAAGTTTAACAGAATCATAAAGATACGCCGCATGAATTGATACATACTGGAAAAAATGAAAATAAAATATAATTTTGTTGTTAGGAATTATATTTTTAAAATTCCATATTTTTTTCATCAATAATTATCTAATTAAAATTACAATATATTAAAAGATTTGAATTAATGTATAAAATTAAATTTCTTTAAAAAGAAAGAAAATTAAAATATTTTTAAAGACTTTTTTAAAATTAAAAAATTTTATTTTAAAATTGTTTAAAAATTTAAAAAATGTATTTTTAAAAAAAAGAGTATTAATATTTTTTAAAAATGTAATAAATAATCTTTTTTTTTCAATTTATTCACCTTTTCGAATTTTTGTGATCCAGTTTGGAACAATAGTGGAGTCATAAAATTAAAGGGTTCCTTGACATTATATTCGCGGACTTTCTTAGTGAATTCCCCGTAATTTTGAGTAGGTGGGGTGGAAACAACAACCAGAAGAGATCGTGCCTTTTTCAGGAAGTCCTTGGGTTCGAGACAATTTTTCAATGTATTGAGGTCGTCGGGTCCTGTCGATTTCAAGGTGAACAATGAATTTTGTTCAATTTGCGTATAAAAATTTGACGCGCTTTTAAAAAAGGAATATAAGAAGTTAAAAATTATAGGTTATGTTTATGATAGTTTAAAGTAAAAATATACAGAAAATAATTAATATAAAAAAAATTTTAATAAAAAAAAAAAAACAAGTGATGTTTATATTAAGTCTTCAATGCATCAAAAATATAAAATAAAGAACAGATTTTGATTTAATTAAAAAGGAATTTTTTATCATATAGGTAAAACTATCATAAACATAACCTCTATAATTTTTTGCTTAAGTCCCTTTCTTCAGAGCGCGTCACATATAAATATTTAAATGTTCTATAGTTTAACAATTGAAAAAAGTTGAAAATAATTAAAATATACTTACTCCATAAGTATTTTTGCGCCTCTTTCGACGAAAAAGTATTCATGTCGACATAAATTACCATATATTCTCCGTTATCCAAGAGCCTTTGAGTTTGCATCGATGTCATAAAGTCCCATAATGATAACGCGGTTCCCAAAAAAATATAAACTAGAAAAGAAAATTTTTTATGTAAAAACAAATTTTCTATTATTATTTGATTTTCAATTTAATCGACTTTTTATTTATAGTCGAATTTTTATTTAACACAAGTTATTTAATATTTGGTTTAATTGAATTTTCATTTAACTAAATATTTATTAATAATACCAATTTATCAGAATGCAAATTTATTAAATTAAAAAAATATCAATCTGAACTGAATTTGAAAAAACAGAATTTTATTTCCTCTAAATCACAGTAAATCGAATTTTCATTTGAAACAGGTGGAAAATTGATTTTTGATTTTTTAATTTTAACTAAAATAATATATTTTTGCTTAAATGAACATTTGGTTGAGTAAATATACTGCTAAATAAAAACTTGGTTAAATATGTATATAAATTCGGTTAAATAAAAGTTGAACTAAATAAAATTCAGTTTTATAAAAATTTGACTAATAAGTGAAAAACTCGTCAATAAAAAAATTATATCAATTTTAAAATTTTCTTAAATAATAATTATAGATTATTAATAAGTAAAATTTAAGTTTAATGGAAAAGTTGGTATACACAAATTCGGCTTAATAAAAATTTATCTCTATAAACAATTGGCTAAATGAACAATTGATAAAGTAAAAATTTACTTAATATTCGGTAAAATATGAAAATTGTACTAAATATTTACCTTTAAAATCGGTTTAACAGACGTTTGACTAAATAAAAATTTGTAAATACAATTTTTTTTTTAATTTTGCTAATTGCTAATTGTAAGTACAAAATTTGACTACTTAAAAATGAGGACAAATTGAAATTTTTTAAATAATTAAAGATTATTAGAAGGTAAAATTTTGGAATAATGAAAAACTTGCTTTTTAGAAATTCAACTAAATAAAAATTAAATTAAATAAAAAATTATCTTTATGAAGAATTGGCTAAATGAACAATTATAGGTAAAAATTAAACTTAGTTAAATATTCGGTTAAATATCGAAAATTTTTTAAATATATACTTATAATTTCGGCTTAATTACCGTTCGAAAAAATAAAAAATTTATTAAAATAAACATTTTTTTAAAAAAATTCTATTTAATGACAAAATTGCTAAAAATAGAAATTTCGCTTAAATTAATGTTAAAGTAAATAAAAATTTTCCTTTTAAACATTTGGCTAAATAGACAATTTATTAAATAAAAATTTAACATGAGTTAAATATGGAAATTTTGTTAAATTAAATATCAACTAATTAAATATTTGACTAAATACAAATTTTTTTAATTAGTTAAACATTTGGCTTAATTAACTTTGTTAACAATCAACTTAGTGAATAAAAATTGTGGAATTATATACAATGTGAAAATAAATGTCCCGATAGAAATTTTTTTTTTTTTTTGTAATTGGGTGAAAAAAAGTGTCACTAACTTCGAGTCATGTTTTTCGTTTCTTGTATAAGATGAAACCACCTGCTGACTTGACAGCATTCAAGTTTCTCTGTACAACAAACATGTCCATCCTCGACTCGTTTATGATGATTGATGGTGAAATTATGCTTTTTGGCTTGTTGCTCCAATGATTTAGCGACGGTTGACCATTCTTTTTCCGCAATGATGGTAAATTTGTTCCAATCATAATGAAGTAATAGAGCTATTACTGATTTTGTGACTTGAGTATCAGGTGGTTCAGTTCGTGCAAAGGTGTTTATTGCTGACGCCTTATCATCGGAACATTTCTGCAAAACAAATTCAATTAAATTCATATTAGTATAAATAGTTATTATTTATCATCAATTATTAACATTATTTTCATTTTAATTTACCCTACTGTTTTAATTTTGGACACATTTCCATTTAGAAAAATTATCATTATTATATATTTGATTGTTTTCTTTATAACTAAAGTGTTTTTTTAGCAGAATTTTATATTTAATACAATTTTTATTTAGCTGAATGTTAATTAAAATTAAAATAAATTTTCAAACTTAAATCGTCGTATCTTTGACAAATGTTAATGAAATCATTTGTCATTTTGTATACACACTTATTAGGGTACATAGAAGACGACAGCATAATAAAAAATTAAAGAATTATTTATTTTTTAATAATAATTAATTATAAACAGTGAACGGTCGGTAATCGCGTTTTCTAACCTTTGACGAAAAAAAGTCTGTGGGAAACATTAAAATTGTTGTAGAAATAGTGAAAAACTCAACATCTGCACGAAATATGTTTTTTAGTACAATTTAGTTGTAAAGTAATTGTAAAGGATTAAGTCTGGGTTTTTTCAAGGTCTCTAGAAAAACTCGATAAGGGATTATCCTAAAAATTATGATGCGTTATAACCATCATCAATAGTATCCACACTACCACGTTTGTACTTTCGGTATACGTGTGTTAGAAAAAATAGTATGTGCAACTCGGGAGGAAAATGATTTTATCGCCTTCGGCTCGTGCGCTCGCTACGCCTCGAACTGCAAACTACTCTCGTGGAAATCAACCATTTTTCTCCCTAGATGCACAATATACTATTTTTTTGGTTTTCAAAGAGTTGAGAATAATTTTGACATCAGAAAAAGGATTGCAGTATTTCATAATATAGAAGTGAATGTTTACATTGATATGATAAAATAATATCTTTCTCATCACATATTAGATTCTTAACAATTAAAGAATTTAGTAAACTTTTGAAAACTATTAATGTATTAGAATTAAGTCATTAAAGTCAATTGTACATTTCTGTTATTAACCCTTTGAGTGTCAGGCTCAAATACAAAAATCTGACCACGAGTGTCGAGAAAAATGAAGATTTCAAAAATCATACAGTTTGCTTAAGACATACTGGATCCGCCATGTTGAATTTTAAAAAACTAACACCGAATTCGTAATCAGCGACCTCAAAAAACCCCGAGTAACCAATTTCAAGCAAATCAAATCTATAAGATAGAAATAAGATTTTGGTCAAAGGCGTCACGCGACACTGGTGGCCAGTTTTGTCGTGACGCCTATAGGCGTCAGTGACACTGAAAGAGTTAATACGAATTTTTTTTATGTTAAGAATCATGTCAAAATCTTATTGATAAGGTTGGTTTCCATTGTTCCCACTCGCCATTTGTCACAATTCTTGTTAACTACCGCACGCTGCTCTAGTGAACATTTAGGGACTTATTTAATAATAGAATTAAAAGTTACTAAATTTTCACTAGAGCAGGGTGCGGTAGTTGACGAGAATTTTGACAAATGGCGAGTAGGGATTTTGGCGAGTGGGGACAATGGAAACCAACCATAATAAATATAAAATAATCAGTGAAACATCCAAATTGTGACACTTTGCAGGGAATGGTAACTGTTTTTCGCTACAGGGCGGGGTACTGGAATAGAAGGAAGCAACACGGAGAGAAGAGTTACAGTGGTGTCTACAAAACGCGTTTAATAGGCAAAAATATTGTTAGGATAACTTTACTGGCATTCGCTGTTACTAAACAGCGTTTAGTTCCTTGTAGTTGAATTTACTAAACGGTTCTTTTGCCAACACTACCCGTTGATTAAATGCGACTGCTCAGTCTCCCCACTTCTTACTAGTTTTTATGTTATGAAAATGGCAGACACTTATATTGTTTGCGACAGTTTGATACAAGTGAGTTGATTATATTTAAAAGATAAATCATGAATATAGAAGATTTATTGTCTAACTAGGGCTTTTCCAGTTATGAGGAAAAATTGAAAGGTAAGTTTATTCCATTCTATTAGTAAATTTAAAACAATATTTAAATACGATCGCCCGCCCCAAGAATTGCTGCATCTTTTAAGGTTATGTTTATCTTTACACGTGAACGGGACCGGCTTTGGACAATAATTTTTCAGCAGAGGAAATATAATATTTCTAAAATATAATTATATTTTATTGATATTATTCAAATAATCCATTTTTTGTATCAAATTATTCTAGAGTAAAATATTTCTCAAATTCAAACAGTGTTATTATTATTATACATTTTATTTACACTAATGCATTAATAATCTTAAATTATTTTTTTTAACAAAAACCATTGTAATTAATTAATATAATATTATTAATGTTCATATTAATTAATATAATAATAATTAATTAATTATTTTTAAAAATCTTTAATTTTTGATTTCTATAATATTCATATGTTAAATTAATCGAACTAGTTCAAAAAGATCTCTATTTATTTTAATTAAGATGCGAATTATATTAATTTTTCCAAGTGTAAAGATAAAATAATTGAATATTTATATATTTCGTTGAAAAAAACAAAATACTTGATCGCAAAAAATATACTTAAACAACTTTTTTTTTTAAATAATACGTCATAAATGTCAATTTTAACAAAACTAAACTGCTGAATCATGAAAATGACCTCCTAGTGGAGACTCGCCCATATATATATTTTATTCCGATTATTCTAATCAGAATTTTTTTTTTTTGTATTTACAATCAGCGTATCCATAGTGTCAGTGTTCGGTATATTATGTTGCAAACATGGTACATATTATACATATATATATACAATATGTGATGGAAGGGTAGGGAGAGCGCGGCACGATGCAACGCAACACACTCGGTTAATAATAAACCGTGGACTAAAGGAGATAGGGGAGCAGGAACAAAATGAACGGACAACTCTGGAAGTGCATACTGCAACGGAGAGCTCCGCATGCTGGAATGTGACATGTGCTCATTAACATATAAATTAAACATGACAACTCGGGGTCAGTTCTTCTTTTAACGGCGACCACCGCCGCAACAGGCTTTTGCGCATATATACATACACCCCCTCCGGGAACCATATATATATATAAGCGAAACGTACTAATTTCAAAATTTTCATATCTCGCAGATTACACGCCCTTTTATATAATAATATATAAGCGAACATAAACGACGAGTCTTCATCAAGCCTCTTTGAATTTTCAATCATGTCACACTCTTGTCTTTTCATCTTTCAGCGGTTCGCCTCTTTATTGCTTCCATTCAAATTCATTATATATTATATACGTTCTAAAACGACTTATTTATCTCGATTTTATATCTCAATATTCTGTTAAGTAAAAAGTTTGCTATATATATATAATTTTATGAATTAGAGATTTTGCTTAATGAAAATTTAGCTAAAAAATTTGGTTATAATACTAAATTGTATTAGTGGAAAATTAATTATTAACAAAAATTAAAATAAATCATGTTCCTTTTAATATTATTGAAATCAGATTTTTAAATAAAATTTAAAATACAAGAAAAATTATATTCTTTCTACCATAATAGCTATAAAAAATGGGAAGATGTAAAATTGTGAATTCGAGTCAATTGTGAAGCATAAATATTCTCTAACAATAATAAAATTTTTTTTTGAAAAAGGACAAATACATCATTTTATGCAGTTAAAGTACCTACTCAAAAAGTCGCACACACCTGATATATATTATGTAGGTTGATACTTGCCTACATAATAACCTATCTCAGCCAGCTATCTTTCCTATCGAGCAACCTACCTATATAGCTTCCTACCAGACGCGGGATAGATCTCGACAAAGCCTATTACGCTCGTGCGTGGTACCGCTAACGCTAGATTTAGATTTACCTTTCCTTCGTTTCAGTAAGGTTTCACGTTTGCACTTGAAATTACTTTTAGATCAAATCTAACAAGTGCAGTTGATTCTAATTAGCAAATTGTAATACGTTAATTGCTGAGGAACTGTTTTACTACATAAACTAGTTTTCACCAGAAAACAAAAAGGAAAAAAAAAGTTAAATAAACTCAGCTTGTTATGATAAACTTTAAACATCAACAACAGTTAATTGAAATCTTTTATCTATTTTAAGTTGAATGTTATTATTTTTTTTTCATTATTATCATTATCATCATTTTTATTTTTAGCTTACTTTAGGATAATAATAACAACAAAATAATAAGAAATAAGTTTAACAATTTATTTAATTTTTCATTTTCATTTTTGAGATTAAACATTTGGAAGGTTTTCATTGTCCCCGCTCGCCATTTGTCATAATTCTCGTCAACTATCGCACCCTGCTCTAGTGAAAATTTAGTGACTTTATAATAGTTAAAATTAAAAGTTACTATAAAGTCACTAAATTTTGGTTGGTTTCCATTGTCCCCACTCGCCATTTGTTATAACTTTCGTCAACTATACCGAACCCTGCTCTAGTAAAAATTTATTAACTTTATAGTAACTTTTAATTTTAACAATAAATTCACTAAGTTTTACTAGAGCAGGGTGCGTTAGTTGACGGGAATTATGACAAATGGCGAGTGGGGACAATGGAAACCAACCTTTTCACTATAAAGCAAAGTGCGGTAATTGACGAGAATTATGACAAATTTATAATTAACGATTTAAATCAATCATTGAGGTGAAAGGATATTGACATTTTCTAAATAATTCTTCACAGAATTTCAAACTTAGAAAAAAGAATCCTTAATTTAAATATAGATATCTGTTTAAACGATTTTGTTTAATTTAGCACTGTTTGTAAATTTTATTTTATAATATACGGAAAAGGTCGATTACTTTCATTTAAAAATATTTGTTTGAATTAAAAAACATAATATATTTGATTTAAACTTAGGGTACAGTCACACTTCAACGAAATTTAGTGACTGTTTAGTAACATTCTAGTTACAACCGAAATTTTTGGAAAATTACTAGAAAGTTACTAAACATTCACTAGATTTTGTTGAAGTGTGACCAG